AGTTAGTGATCCAGAGTTGGGGTTGTTGATGAGAAGTAGAGCCTGAAGAAGGTTGAGAAGTAATTGTATGCATTGCTTGCATATGAGATTGAGGAGGATATATTGGTGTGGAAGGAGCATATGCATTGGTAGTCGATTGAGAGTGGTGAGGACCACCAAAATTTGGACCCTTATCATTGAAGAAGCAATACCAGGTAGTATGATTTGCTTTACCACAGATGTGGCAACCCTGTTTGTCCATTGGTTTTGAGTTACAAAATGAAGCAGTATGACCAAATGTGTTGCACAACTGACAAGGAACCTATGGATGTGTATTTTGACTAAAGTACCGAGGTGGATGCGAACCAAGAACTCGAGAAAAACCAGGGTTCGGATTAGAGAACTGATTAGAAAACTGCGGTCTAGGATTAGGATTAGATACCTATATCCTTGATTAAACTTCCCTTTGCCCTTCCTGTTGTTATTAAAAGATCGAAAACCACCAGAAATTCCAGAATAACCATTATTATGAGCAGACGGATGAGTTATGAAACTTCCAGATTGAGATTGACCAGTAGAGAATTTAGGGCTAGAATTATTAGCAATCATGGCAGTCATGAATCGAGAGGACACCGTGCTATCAACAATCAGTTCTTCAGCAAGCAATTGCACCTGAAATTCCTTGAGAGAAATAACATTCTCACGACCCCGTATCACACTGTGAAAAGTATTATACTCAGGAGGAAGACCATTAAGGGTAAGAATAACAATATCTTCATCAGCAAATGTAACCCCAGCAGCAGAAAAATAGTCCCTAGCTTCTTTGATACACTGTAGATATTGAGACACCGAGTTAGATCCTTTTCGAATAGTTTGAAGATTAGATTTAAGCTGAAAAATACTTGTCCGAGACACAGCTGAAAGCTATTCTTTCAATCGATTCCACAAATCACAAGCACTGGTGCTACCAATCGCACATGAAATCGCAACTGGTGATAGAGTAGTAGTGATCAGCTGCATTAGGGCACGATCATGCATTTTCCAAACAACATAATCTTCAGTCTCAGACTGAGTCAAAGAATTTGCAGCATCAAGACCAGAAGCAGTAGAATTTTCATAACAAATGACATATCGAGGTGGACAAACATGCGATCCATCAAAAAACCCCATGATACCATGTCCCTCAAGCAACAATTGCATTTGAAATTGCCAATTCAAGTAATTAGAATCATCAAGTTTAACATTCACATATGTGGAAATAGTAGAAATAAGACTAGTGATCGGAGATTGTAAAATCTGCAGTTGCAATGCAGTCACCATAGTTGCAGATGCTAAAAACCAACTGATAAACACCTTGCGTGCACACAATCTGGAGCAAAAAATCAAGATTTGCAAAAACCCTAGAAATCACAGATGACGAGCAAAATACCAGAATCTGTCGAGAACCAGATAGTGTCAAAGACGAAGAAGATGAGCGGAAGCAGCCAGAAGATCGAAAGAAGCAGTGTGAGCATCAATGGCTCTTGATACCATGTTAACGTAGAGAGAAGAAGCTAGGGTTTCAAGTATTAAGAGAGAGAGAGAGAGAGAGAGAGAGAGATCGAAGAAGAGAAGTTTGTAGAGAGAGAATGAAATCTGTTGTATATTATATTTTCTTACTTACTAAGCTATTACATTGAGGTATATATAGAGAATAAGATCTCTAACTATCTTAGTTCATACATCCTTATGACGAGTGTCTCAATCCTAAGCATTCTCTATATTCTTACAAGGACCACTGCTACCGTAGGGGATAAAGAAACTCATTACTTTGGCTATGATTCTCGGACTAATGACTATAAGGTATTGAGAATTGTGAATAATTTTTGCAGGCACACCCGATTTGCAGTTAAGGTTTACTCTTTGGCCTGGCGCTATTGGAAAACCCTTAGTGCGGCAGCTCTTCCTGCTTATGGGAAGCTTTCCAAAAGTGTTTTGGTGAATGGTACTCTGCATTGGGTTCAACTCCGTGGCAAAAATGGGCAAGAACATATCAATATTGTGTCTTTTGATTTGAACACTGAATTATTTGGCGAGATTATGATACCTGAAGGTTTGAGAAAAAGAGGTTCGAATACCTGTGTCTTTTTGAAATACGGAGAGTCTCTTGCCTTGACTGATAATGAGATTGAACATACTAACGACGCGGGAATGTGTAGGCTTCAAGGGTAGGTCATGAAAAAGTATGGTGTGGCGGAGTCGTGGACTGAATTCAATGTTAGTGTAAAACTGCAAAAGTATTATATGCCAAATTTTGAAAGGGAGGGTTGGATGCTTCTTGGTTTTAAAAGTCAGGATGAACTGGTGTTTGTTGACTCTACTAAGCTGGGAACCATTGCAGTGGTGGATTTGAAGACCGACGAAGCTAATGACATCGCAATTTTTGGCGACAGCTACCAGTTAAAGTGCCTTCCGTTTGTAGAAAGTCTGGTCTTACTTGACCACGTTAATGCAGTTTCCTACTAATTAAGGAGCAAGCAAAATACAACAGCAATAGGTGTGACTTATGGATTTTAGCACTTACACTATTTATGTGTTCTTCTTCCTTCAAATTTTATTTGAAATTAATTGCTAAGCTTGTTAGATTTCTGGGAACTTTTATCCTTTGTAGTAGTTAAATTAAATCCTCCATTAATTATGCGGTATTATTTCACTACCCAAAATCCTCCTAGGTGTTTGCTATTTAACTGCCTCATGCCTCTTCTCTTTTTCTCACTTCTAAGTTTTTGGCAATGCATATTCATGCCAGTTTACTGATACATCTGTTTTACAATTCAAAAACGTGTTAATGTGAATGAAATAAACACATGCATATTTAGTGTTACACGGTTACACCTTAAAGTGCAATGAATACATGAATACATGAATACATACAAAAGAATATATATATATATGTGTGTGTGTGTGTGTATTTATATATATAAATTTGGGGACAAAATTATATTACAGGAATAAACATAAAAATCTAGAAAAAGAATACTAGATTTGACATAAAGAAACTTGACAAAGCCACTACTAGCTAGTTACATTATTGAAGTCTTTTGATATAAAATCGCAATGCTTGTTGTGATAGTAGGTGATAAAATGCAAATTGAGGATAATATTGATGTGATTAGTAGTGGGCCGCATACCTTTGAAATCTTGACATGCAATAAGAGCGGGTTGATTGACTAAGGCCAAATTTACCTTCCCTTGCCTGAATTACCATCTTAACTGTCTTAGCTTACATCTGCATTTGAATGATGTCGATTTGATTGCATGCATGTGTGGTGGTTCCATACGTGTAAGAGGGCACGTTGAACTTGAAAAATACACTGAATTATTTGGCAAGAAAATGATGCCCGAAGCTTTGAGGAAAAGAATTTTGAACTGTGTGATTTTCAAATATGGGGAATCTCTTGCTTTGATAGACATTGAAACGACAATCGCCTTGTCGAGTATTAGCAAGAGAAGAAGAATGTGCAACAAAGTGATTGTACTAGTTACTTGGATAGCCCAATGCATCTGTTCGGTAGTTAGCCAAACTGAGTCATCCTTTTGACTTGGGATGCAGCTGGTGGTTAGCCACCTTCATCCCCCGACTTCGTTGGTGAATTTATTCCCCATAACTGAATCCACAACCATTATTTCAAACGTGAATTCCCATCCCCAAACCCACCCATGCCTGTTTGTTGTCCTTCACCACACCATTAGGTTGGGTATCCACGAATATCCAAGCCCATGGAGCGTTTTGTCAACTTTAAGGCGGTACCTTCCTTTTGTGCATTCTATATAAACGTCTAAAAAAAAGGAAGACGATTTCACACTTGTTTCGTTTCCTGCATAGTTTTTGTCTTTGAATTGAATAAATTAGAGAAGTATAAAGTGACAAAAATAAGCATGGCGTGCAAAGAAGGAGAAGAAAAGTGCATAAATTAATCTAAAAAACAAAGGGGAAGATATGGAGAATAGGAGAGAGAAAAGTCCAAAGTTCATGGGTGTCTCTCAACGTTTTATGGTTCACCAATAAATTTCTTGTCTCAAAATATCTATATGCCCGCCTTATCCAATATCCATCCAAGTCATGTCCCAAAGCTGATGCTATATAGTTTGGTTGAAACTTTGCCCCTCTTTAGACTCAGCAAATTAAAACCAACTTCCAAATTACAAGCCATCAAAATGCAGGCCACTCTACATCTCTCACCAATTTCATCAGTGTCATCTCTTGCTTTTGCAACCACCAAGTCCCTGGCCTTGCCATGCAGCTCCCTTCCGAGGCCACTACAACCCTCAAGGTGCCCTCCCCTCAGGGCAACCAACGTGACAGACGACCCTTCATCTGTCGATTACAGCTCCATCACTTCGTAAGTCAATTCGTTTTTTTTTTTTAATCCATCTTGGACTTAATCTTCCGATTGATTGTTTCAATCCTTGACTGTGGAATGTGCAGTGTTTTTCCAGCAGAGGCTTGTGAAACAGTCGGAGGAGAAGCTTGTGATGCTGAAATGTATCCCGAAGTGAAGCTCAAACCGGAAGAGGGCAGGAGCAGCACAGCCAGGACTAGTTCTGAGCAGCTGGATAGAGATTATCTAGAGTATGACAGTCCCAAGACGTAAGATCGATCGATTTTCGTACAACTCATCTTCAAATGCTTTAAGATCTCTAGTTTTCGTGTTATGATTAACTGATTAATTGTCTTGATGATTGCTGCAGGGTCTTTCCTGGGGAGGCTTGTGATGATCTGGGAGGAGAATTTTGTGAGCCAGAGTATCAGAAAGGGGTAAACTAAGCCCCTCCATGGGATATTTTCTCGTCTCTTTTCAGTTTTTACTGCTCACTGTAATATTCTGTGAATAATTATGTACATGAAACTGTAATAAACCCAGTGGGAAGATTCTAGTTACAAACAATTACAACTCTCCGAAACCGTATAAGTTGATGAATCAGTATGTTCTCCATATATTTGAACTAACAAGAGACGTACCTAATTTGCTTCTGGAAACTTGAAAATCGAAATACTGATCAAATAGTGTTTCAGAGAATGCACATCACAGAGCCCAAAGGATTTTTACAGAACTTACACTGAGCAAAACTAATGAAGGTGAAGCAGATATTAACTCTGACATAATGCACGGATCGAAAGTAATGGATCCTGGACCAATTTTGAGCCTATTTCGATACATCTACGATTCACTTGCTTCAGTGATCTCCTCTAGCAAAAGATTCTGGAGAGCCACCGAGTACTTAGCAGTCACTCTTCTTCCCCCTGAATTGCTATAGTCTTTTACAATGAACGATCCTGAGCCATCGCCTTCAACATACCAAAAGAAAAAAGAAAAACCCTGCTTATAATAGGCAATATGTTCTACATAAATTTATAATGTATAACCACCCCTTCTGCTAAACTAAACCAACCTTGAATTGTAAAAATGGTCGAAACCCATCTTTTGTAGATGAAGAGCAACCGCGGGGAGTCTCCGCGGTGTGTATCTGATAACACAAGCTTGCAAGGCCTTGTTTCACTACCATAAAAAATCAAACCGTATCAAAATGTTACTAACAGAGAGAATAAAGTCGCCAACTGAAATCACATAGTCACTCACTTGGCATGGATCATGGCATTGTGACACAAAGCCAGTGTCCGAACCATTGCCAAGTCTCTTCCTCGTGGGTTTCCATATCTTTCTTGGCAGCTCCTTCAAATCAATTGCAAGCACAAAAGAATTAATCTTTGTAAAAAGTTGAAAGTCCATGAACAAAGAAGAAAGGAAGCACCTTTCATCAAAGAAAGCTCCAAAATCATCGATGACAACTGCGACCGGAAATGTATCGTGCAGATGAAATGCAGCAAAATACTTCTTAATTCCTTCCTCATCGTCCACATACCTACACAAAACACTTCTTCTCTCAAAAATCCCATTGTTTGCATCACCATTGTTCATTCTCTAAAGGGTCTCTTGACTTACTTCATTTGTATTCGTTGAAATGCTTGAGAGGATGAATCAACGCCCTGAGCAGTTTTAACGCAATTATTAATTACGTAGGTTGAGGTTTCACTTTCACCCCAAAACCAAAGGGCGGGGAGTGGCCCAAAATATAATGCTTTTCAGTTTTCAGATTAAAAAATACAGGTAACATAGGAAGTGGAAAGCTACCTGGGAAAGATAAGGGGGTTTGGCCTCTAATCTGCGTCGGTTGCAGATGAAAACTACTTGATCATTTTTGCAATCGTGGGCGGCCTCCATTGCGGAGTTGAATGCAAACTGGAATAATAAGGAGGTCTTTCCGCTGCAAAAAAAAGATACCCCAGAAAGCAATCAGAGAGAGAGAGAGTGAGATAGAGAGACAGAGAGTTGGAATTGTGAGTAATACCAGGAAGGAGGGCCGGACAGAAGCACAACAGGGTGGGAGTGATGGTCTTGTTGGAGGTCCATTTGCCGAACTGAGAAAAATCTCTGCACCATGGTTGAGCTGCTGAAGCTTTACGTTGTCAGCCGTCTGATGAAAATTTTATACTTGCTTCAAATCACAAAACGCAGGCCTAATTCGTTTTTTTACGGGCCTAGCGTATAATGTGCCCATCTTAGTTTGTCCAATGGAAACACGAGAACCACGGCAGAGATTTGCTACAGATTCTTTGTTTCCAAAGATGGGCTTGAAGAGTAATTAGACATCCTGTTTTGGGTGGTGCGGGAATGATATTCAAAATTAATGAAAATGTTCTTACAATCTAGGTACCAAAAAAAAAAAAAAAAGAAAAGATTTTTATTTTTTTTTATTTTTTTTATTTTTATCAGAAACACATGATGAACAATCTTTCATAAAGATATGAGGTTAGGACTTTCGTGAATAAGTTAAAATTTGGGAGCGGTTGAACTATGATAATTAAATTAAAGTTTGGTGACACTGATAACTTTTTTTTTTTTTTTTTTTTTTTTTGTACTAGTGATATTTGATGAGGCCGACTCATTTCCAGATCCACATTCTGGTACTAGCCTAGACAAGTCCCTACTCTAAAAGCCACTTTATCCCCTTGCCTTACTTTACTCGATAACCACTTTATCTCCTTCTTTTTCGGGTCCCCTTTCACATAACCACGACTCCATCTCTTTCTCAATTGATAGATCAACATAACTTTGGTGAGCTTTTGAACACTACACCACCAACAACCATCACCACCAACTGCCCTTTTGCCACAGGTCCACAGACGTACGTTGTGGTACCTATCACATCCCAGGCTCGACTTCGCCGTAGCATGATATTGTCTGTTTTGGGTCTCGACCACGCCCTCATGGTTTTGTTTCTGAGAACTCACACGGGAACTTCCCAGTGAGTCACCCATCCTGGGATTGCTCTCGCGCGAACTTACTTAACTTTGGAGTTCATACGGAATCCGAAGCCAGTGAGCTCCCAAAAGGCCTTGTGCTAATTGGAGGTGGGTATGTACATATAAGGTATATAGGATCCACTCCCCTGGGTAACATTATAACATCCCACATCGACCAACGGAGAGGGGGTGATGTGCCTTATATGTATATGCTTCCCTCCATATAGCATGAGGCCTTATAGGAACTCACTGGCTTCGGGTTCCATCGGAACTTCGAAGTTAAGTGAGTTCGGGCGAGAGCAATCCCAAGATGGGTAACCCATCGGGAAGTTCTCGTGTGAGTTCCTAGAAACAAAACCGTGAGGGCATGGCTGGGGCCCAAAGTGGACAATATCGTGCTACGGCGGAGTCGAGACTGGGATGTGACATAATGGTATCAGAGCCAATCCCTGGCTGGAAGTGTGCCGACGAGGCCGAAAGTATGCTGACAAGGACATCGGGCCCTTAAGGGGGTGGATTGTGAGATCCCACATCGTCCAGGGAAGTGGGTCCTCTATGCCTTATATGTACATACCCACCTCTAATTAGCATGAAGCATTTTGGGAGCTCACTGGCTTCGGATTCCGTATAAATTTTGAAGTTAAGCGAGTTTGCACGAGAGCAATCCCAAAATGGGTGACCCACCGGGAAGTTATCATGTGAGTTCCCAGAAAACAAAACCGTGATGGCGTGGTCAAGGCCCAAAGCGGACAATATCGTGCTACGACGGAGTCGAGCCTGTGATGTGATAGAAAAATGGTATCAGAGCCTAGTTTCAGCAGTCCTGCATATTTTGTGAGTATTCTAATCGTTTTGATCTCTTATGTCAGAACCATGCCGCCTCGTAGAGAGCCATGTACTTATTATGAGTCTAATTTTCCAAATATAGCCCAACTTGGGGAAGCATGTACATATAAGGCACATCACCCCCTTTCCATTGGTCGATGTGGGATGTTATAGTACCTGTGTGTGATTGGGGTTGGTAGAGATTTGAGGACTGCCCAGATGGAAAAGGATTGGAAATCCTATGGGATGAGATTCCACCAACATATATGGTGGTTACCTGTGTGTGGCTGAGGTTAGTAGAGCTTTGAGGACTGCCCAGATGGAAAATGATTTGAAATCCTAGGGGGTGAGGTTGTATTCTTTTTAGTCTTGGTTATATATACTTCTTGCTCTCAAATCTCACAAAATCCACAACTTATTGAAATCCTTCAAAATCTTAATTTTTTTAATACACTTAGATTGTTGAGGAAAAAAAAATTAAAGTACACAACTCTAACACAAGTGTTGGAGAGACAAAACAAGTAAACAAATTACTTGTATTAACCTCACAAAATATTACAACACAAAATCTCAAGGACACTCTTTAGAAACTATGACACTCACTCTTTCTAGAGACACACTCTAGACCACTCACACTCCTCACAAGACTACTCTTCTCACTTTCACTTGGTTGCCTTGCTTACTCTCTTCTTGATTCTTACTTCCTTCTTGATTGGTTGGTTGGTTGGTTGATACAAATGGTGCGGATGCCTTCTCCTTTTATAGGCATGGATGGAACCTTGGAGAAGCATGGAAACATCATGCTAGAGATATCTAGATAATTCCACTAACTTCCTATGGTAGAATTATCTACACTAATCTTGCATGTTGGTGGAAACCTCATCATTCTTCTAGACTCATCCACCAACTTACGAAACAACCTTCTAGTCCTTTCTACAAAGGACTACCTTAACTTGGATAATCTAGCTAACCAACTTTAGTGAATGTTCTAGAATTCTTTATTCTAGATTTGTGTAGTCTTTCAATGAGATGGGGTTCATTTCTGTAACATAGATTTGGATGGATTTTAAAATCTTTTAAAATATTTTAATTGACTACACCCAGATTTGAATGGATTCTAAAATCTTTTAAAATATTTTAATTGACTACACTAGGATTTTAAAGTCTTTTAAAATCCTCTCGAATATGAGTTTGACTACACTTACTTGATTGGTCTGAAGAACATGGAATGCATGTGACAAAAATAGTCCATGATCTGAGATAAGAAAGAAGAGGAAGATAATATGTTGATAATTAAGGAATTATGTTTGTAATTATTTCATCACACACACACACATACACATATATATACATATATTATGTGTTATTATCTCACCATATATATTTAGTAGGATACCAAATCGGCATTAGAGTTTGGGTTTAGAGGGTATTTTCCTGGGTTTAGCTAGAGTTTAGGGGGGATAAATTCCATCCAAAAAATAGCGAAAATAGAGTCACCACCCAGCCCTGTTCCCTGTTATTCACGAAGGTCCTATAACTTTACCCGCTCTAACCTATAATAATTGCCAATTCCTCCCTTATCAACAACTCTCTTTCACCACCGCATCCCTTGTAAACAATGGATCGTAACGTAGACTTGAGAACTCCAAGTAAAAAAGCAATATCAGTTGACCACTTTCCTGACGAAATCGTAGCAGTGTTGGAACTTTACAATTAGCAAGAACCCTAAATTACAATATACATACATTTATCTGAAGAAAAACTTGGCTATGAATTCAACCGAATGCATTTGTTAGAAAGAAAGAAATAACTACTCTCACCTTTGGGTAGGTATGCCTTGACGTTATGGACATTGACACAATGATCAAGCACCATCACATTGAGGGACAAGTTCAGAACTCAAGAAACAACGCTGGGCAGCTTCATTAGGTAGACTTGGATGGGCATGCCTGATAAAGCCATGGAACCGTGAATAAGGAAGTATCTTCTACTCAATGGGGCCTTATGCTCTCACTAGAATAGGGCTAGTTTCTGTATAGAATCATTTCCTCTTGAGCAGGGACCATTCCATATATAGATGCTGATCCAAACTGCCTTCCACCTATTATGGACAGCAGTTGGTAACTGACAGCACTACTCAATCCTTATAGACGTGGGGCTTTCCATCACTTCAACATGTTTGCCTTACGGTTCTACTTTAAAGGAAGTTAACCTAATAATTAACTCTAACTGATTATAATTATAATGTGACAATTCCTTATCATGATTTGTAGAGTCCAAATAAGATTCCAACAAGCAGATATCTTGATGAGGCTGCCCGTCAAATCTATAGTCAAATTTACAAGAGTGTGCAAGTCGTGGAATTCTCTGATCAAAAGTCGCACCTTCATTGACGCCTATCTCAGACGCTTATTAACACAATCCAAACACAAAAACAACAAGGATGGTCGACGCCAGCTCCTTCTACTAAAGAAGAATGGACCGCAGTATGTTAATAGTTTTTACTCGTACAATGGGAATATCTTTAGCCTGTTGAGAATGAATCACATTGATGAGAGGACAGACCTTGCATGTGGTTATAAGTAGTTGAGCTCCTCCCCATATTGCCAATTGGTTTTATGGTGGAACCTCAACTCTCTTCATGGTATTCGAGCTAAACTCCTCAAAGCACGCTGGATGAAACTTCCTTTTGACTTCGTCTTACATAGCCATGCATCTGGTTACACCGAGCTTATCAAACCACCAATTCTGGATGAAATAAAACGTTATTTTAGTTATTTGTCAATGGTCGGGACTCGTAATGGGCTTATATGCGTTGCTGACAACTAAGACTTTCAGGACAAAAGCAGGCTTTCAGGACGAAGATGCCCCCACAATAATTTGGTACCCTTCAGTCAGAAAGTATGTGATTTTGCCTAGTCCTAATATTAAGAACAATTTTGAGGGTGCACAAACCTATATTTTTGGCTATGATTCTCAGACCAATGACTACGAGGTCTTGAGAATTGTTACTGTGAGGAATTCTTTGTTAGGGGTCGAGGTTTACTCCTTGGCCAAGAGACGTTGGACATGTCTTAGTGCTGCTGCAACTTCTGTTTTTCCTGCTTATTTGTGCGCGTCGTTCTTGATTAATTTTTTTATTGATGCTATGCATTGGATTCTACCCCGTGACAGAGATCCCCAACATCTCATGGTGTCGTTTGATTTCAGCACTGAATTATTCCACGAGATCGAGATGCCTGAAGATTTTGGAACAACAGGTTGCCCATGTTGCGTTTTAAGATATGGAGAGAGTCTGTTGCCTTGTTTCAGATTGACAACAGAGAATATTTTGTCTTTAGGCTTTATTTATGGGTCATGAAAGAATATGGTGCAGTGAAATCGTGGACTAAACTAGATAACACAATAGTGTACTCTTCAAAAGATACTGTCCTATCCCTCTTGGTTTGAATAGCTATTGTTGAATGAAGATTGGGGGGCCATAGTGGTGGATTTCAAGACTGAAAAAGAAATGGCTGCAACTGCTCTAGATGGCTACCCATCAATGAATCCTTTCGTAGAGAGTCTCATCTTACTTAGCCAGTCCAATGTTGTTTCCTACTAATCAATTGGCTAACAGCATGGAGCCCTACTTTCTAAAGTATCAGCAGGCAAAGAATAATAAAGGCCGATCCCAAGCCAATAAAGCTCCTCCCTTTATGAGAGTCGGGGGACGTATATCGTATGCAGCTTTACCCTTGCTTTGTAAAGAGACTGTTCGCACGGCTCAAACTTTCGGTCACGAAGGTGCTACCTTTCTGCTATGCAAAAACTCGCTCTCATGCAAAGAACAATGGGTTACAAAATTTTCCTTTCTCCTTTTATTTTCTAATTTTTATGATTTTCTTCCCAACTTACATTTGGCATGCTCGAATACTTTTTCCCATGCCTAAGCTATCTGATTCCTTACATCTTCACTATGCGCTCTCAATTCATTTTGTTGGTTTACTAAAAAAAAAAGTGTAATGTTGAATATTTGTTATTTGCATATCCATGTCAGTTTATTGACACGCCTGTGAGAAAAATAGTCCATCAAATTATATATATACTAAACGCCTAACTTTTCAATTAATTCCCTTTGTGTCCTTTTTACTGTTCATTCGCCAGTGTTCTTCCAATTTTACCCTTCAGTTGCTCTTCAAATCTTGCTTTTTTGGTCTTTTACACAGTAAAATGACGGTTTTGGCCCTCTGCGTCCAATAGATGTCTCTCGACTCCTGCCTCAGAAACACAAGTGGCTCTTCACAAGACTTCTTTCTACAGTAATGATTCTATCACCTGGCATGCTTAGCATAGTGACGCGTGTTGAGCGGGACGCGTGTCACTTTACTCATCTCCTCTTTCTCTGCTTTTGCTTCCACCTTATCGTTGAAAACCAATGCATCTGGTGTCGGTTCGAATGTAATTTCAAGCCCAAAAAATGTATGGTTTTCTGGTCTCCAACCGATCTTGAGGAAATGGTATGCTATCGAATCTAATTGACGATTTTTTTGTATGATTGTTTGTTTTTGAGATTGGGATTTGGGATTTGGAATGTTCGGGTTTTGGGATTAATTTGTTTGGTTTTTGTGTGGATACAACTCAGCAACGACAGGTTGATCACATCCTGAGTTTTCCGACTGATTTATTCAATCCTATCGGTTCTGATTTTTTTCCCTCCATAGTTTCTCCAGCACCATCTGCCTTGCTCTCATCACAACTTCTTTCAGTTCCTCAGGTAAAGTTTCCACATTTTTTTCTTCAGCAAAATAACAAAGGATTCCAAATTTATTGAACAAATTAGTGATTTTCTGTTGAGTTTTTTCTTCAAAATTTTAATTTTAATTTTTTTAATGGGAATAGGTGGAATGGTAAATGTGAGTTTCTCTTACCGTTCTTCAGAGGGAAGAGCTTGAGAGACAGTAGACTCTTCTGCTATTCCTCCCCAATCACTTTTACCAATCTGCACAACCCAAATTGAGAGACGGTGCTCTTCCCTGAGGTATGAAAAAGCTTCGAATTAATTTGAGTTGTGCAGAGGAAGCGAATAATTATTTGAATTCATTAATTTCGCTGGGGTTGTGCATATTTCCTTTGAATTAATTTAGGTTGTGTTTGAGCATTGTACAGGCATGAACGCGGGTAGAGAGTATGAGGATAAAGGAAAGAGAAGATGCTGTGATCATCCAGCTTTATCGATTTGTTAAGGCACTTTTCGTACTTTTTGTCTGTTTAAAATTATATGCTTTTCGTCTTTTGGAAGTATTTCATTAAGGATTTTCCATGAATTTCTGAGAATTCCATTTTATCCAAGCTATGGGCGTTGAAATGTCAGTACCTTTTTATTCAAATTTTTCCTTATTTGAATATTATGTGTTTAGAAGTGTAAATTTGCACAATTGAATTTTAGTAAATTTTTCATACTCTAATTAAAACAAACCAAATTAATTCCCCATTGTGATTTAATATAATTGAATGTTAATAATTTTTCATGCTTTTGTAAAAAATTTCGTCTAAATTTCAGATTTTTGGAGGATCCGTCATTAAATTTATGGGTTTTTTTGATATTTTTATCTGAGATTTAGTATTTTTTTTCTTCTAGATTTTGTAGAGTACTTCGATTAAATTTGTGAGTTTGGTAGTTGTATTTTTTCTGTGCATTTTTAGTGAACTTGGTTGTGGGTTTTGATGTTTGTCTGCAGCAGGGAAAGGGAAGAAGATCGTTCCATGCCCTCCACCAGTTCCAGATTCTCATTGTGCCTGGCCACCTAGCGAACCAAGTGGTCTTTCAGAACCTGCAGGAGATGATCAAAGCGAGATGGTATAGTTTTTTGTATTTTTTGCTATTGCTGTATGTAAATGACCAAATCGAATGTCTTTGAGCTCCTTACAAATTCACTTTCCTGACTTATTTTTCCTATGAAACTCTGTCCAACCATATTTTCTTATATGGTTAAAGTTGGTGGCAGAATTCTTAAGGAGATCTTCCACATGCAGTAAGCTTAACATTAAAGGATCAATCTTCTTCATTATCTTTATCGGAGCAATACATCTTTAATGCATGTGTACATTAAAGGATCATTCTTTTAATTTTCTCTTTTTTCTTTACTGAAAAAATCCCCAATTTGGTTGTTTTTTGTTTGAAAAGAGTAACGGCGTCCAAGGATGATTTGGAGCTAGGAAAAAATCCCTAATTTTCTCTGCTTCTTGAGATCGACATGGCTTCCTCGACTATTTTCACCGAGGTTTCTCGCTTCAAATTGGTATGTTTTATAGCTCTGTTCAAATTCGTATGAAAAAGTAGTGAATTATTTTGTTTGTAGGTTTTTTCAAATGGATTTTTTTGTGTGGGATTTATTTGAATATTTTGGGTTTGTTGGGTTTTGCTGCCTTGACCTTGCTCATGAGTGGTCATGTAAGGTTATTAAAACTTTCTAGATTTTTGGGTTTTGCTGTAATGAATTAAAGATTTGATAAAGACATTATTTATTTTGTGGAATTCCTTTTAAACATTAGAATTTATTTTGTCTCACATTTGATGATTTGGGTGTTGTGCAGCAATGCTTTGATGATAATCTCTTTATAAAAAGGAGCCATTAGAATATTTGAGGCTAAGCTTAGTACTAATCAATGTAGCTTCAAAGTATTTTATTTTCAATCTTCAAATTAAGACTAAAGATTTAACATCATGCAATATAGTTTCAATTGTTAAAGATAGTAGATTGAGGTTCTTTGAATCATGGTGGTATTGGTTTTTGGCATTGAATTTTAGTTTTGAATGTGACTTTTATGAAAGAGAATAAAACTATCCATTCCATCATTAATAATTTGTATCAAACTTGCCATTTCATAAGACTCAAACCTCAGAATTGTATGAAAAAGGATAAAACTGTAGCATACCATTTTATTTATGTTTGATTACATTGGTTATTATTACTAATAGTTATGTTTTGTGCATATTGTAGCTTTCATTTTAACTTCCCTAAACTTTCTTCGACTTTCCCTTTCTTATAGGGTTTTATTTAAGACAAACTTATACATCCTAACGCAAAGGGAGAGAGTAGGCAAATGCTGGCATTGTTGATATTGTAAGTGAGTTTGAAAATAGGATTTCTAATAGTTTGCTAGCCGTAAAGTTATTTCTTCGTCTCCCATAAGGTTCAACTTTTTATATACACATTCATGCTTTCTCCATTTCTCTTTTCAACTACTGAAGCAAAGAGATATTGTATGTCTACTAAATTCAGAAAATCAATAATGTTTTACACAATTCTTTCAAACGGTTAATTGTTGTGCTATATCAAATTAGTCGCAGAGTTGAAGATAGAAAATTTAATCGTGTCAGTAATTCATGGTGTTCAATTTTCATGCTTTGCCATTCTTATCCACTTTATTACTTCTTTTTCTTGGATCAAGTTTTTGGAACTTTACCTTATGTCTAATGGCTTTTGTTGCTGTTTGTTTGCGTTAACTAATATTTTTGAATCCCTGGTAGTATTTTTATATTCTTTTGAAAAGAGAATGTTATTTCATCCTGTGTTTTTTTCTCAAATAAATCCATGCTTTGTTAATTGTTAGCTATTCTTTGCTCACTAAAATAAGCCACCTTAATTAATTAAGGTCTCTTGCTGCTGTTTTTGTGATAATATTACCATCTTTATTTCCTCTTCTTTTTTTTTTTTCATTACACTTTGACTTCATGTTACTTTTTACAATTGGTCCTTACTTGACTGAGCCATAGTAAATTGTCCATAATTCACCTATATACACTCTCGATTTTGATGATTACTCAAATGAAATTTGTGATTAGTTTTATTGAATTGTTTTTATTTAATTTAATCTGTATTTTTTTTTTAAATATGCAGGGGGAGTTGAAAGTCAAGAGGAGGGGGTAAGCACGTATTAAGTTTTTGTATCTCAATCTGATCGTTTGATTTCAAATGCTGATTGTCTTTCTCTTTTCCTTTTCCTTTTGTTTATAAAGAATCAAACTGTTTCAGTTGCTAACAGTGTGGATCAAGTTGTGGTAAAAAGGTCCTCCGCTTATATGATGATTTAATATATGAACAATTTAGATCATCCGTTAATTGACATTTCAATTGAATTTTACTTTCATATAATTTGCTTCACATAATGTAAAAACTATTTTAATGGTTTCAATAGGATGATATAGAACAACTATATTCATTTTCTTGACTTTTTTTTTGGCAGCTCATGAAATACTTTTCTCGAGCCTTGGACCAATAAGAAAGTAAAGCACAGAAGTTCTATATTACATGTTAGTTTTAATCCATTACTAAATTTTTTTTTTTTTTTTTTTTCAGGAAATAAACTTTATTAAGATAAAGAGGACTGAACAACAACATGAAAAGCTGAGAATGAACAGTCGAATACCGAGTAAATTCCACTGCTACCACCCAACAAATCCAAGTGCTGAAATTTCAATTATTGTTCTTCAGGTAGGTAAAGTTGCTATCTTTCTATACAAGATGTTGGATTTTTGATTTGCGGTTTTTTTTTTTTTTTTTTCGTTGTTGGAAATATTGGTATTTCTGTTAGTTGTTGATGGGTAGCTTGAATTTTGTTCAAGTCGTAGTAATTTCCGTACAAGTTTACATTTTTGTGTGGAATTTGTGCAACTTTTGGTGTTTGTGTGGTGTTATTTTGATTGGTTGTTGGCCTTTGATTTTGTTATGGTGAAAATGTTTCCCTCTCTTTGCTTGATAAAATCATGTGTTTTGGATTATGGTGCTGATTTTGGTTCTTATCTATGACTGTTGGTGATGTAACATTATAGGCTTTAGGTAGTAGGTTATGTATTCTTAAAAGATAACCGAGTACATCCTAATAGCTGCATCCCTTGGTTTGTGATTTTGTTGCTCGATTACTGAGGTTTATTTTTCGGTGCTCTCTGCTTGGTTCTCACATTTGAGTCATCTCATCAAATCATTATATAGATTTCCACTTGAAATTTTAGCTTTGGAATAGTTAGGTGGCGATCTCTGCTTGACTTTGTTGATTGAGTCACATCACCTAATCATTGGAGACTTCTTTTCCTTTGATTGGAAAAATCATTGGAGAGTAGTATTTCCTATTGAAATTAACTTTGGAATGTAGTGCTGCTCTGCATTTGTAAAGGTGAAAACTGACGAGTGCCAAGTATGATTGTGTAAACTTCGATAAGTTTTAGAGTTTTATCATACCACATATCAAATGAGCAATATGTGCCGACGAATTTATTATGTTAGAAGCTTAAAATTTTCCATTCCAACCTAATTGAATTTTCTTCTATTTTGAATTCGATATAAATGCATTAAGGCCACTCCAGTTTCATGTGTGTCGTCTAAATTATTATTATTATTGTTACGACTTTCTACATGATTTAGCTATATTCTAATTTCTAGCTTTTAAATTTAATATACTATCGTAACTAAATTTATGTTACGTGTTGGTAGCCCCATTGACATATATAACTCCATTTTGCCTTCTCCATAACAGGCCTTGGACATTGGTAAAGAACAAATGGTTGATTTGCTGAGGAAGTATGAATCACTAGAACTAAATACATGAGCCTTAGAGTGTTGTAATATATTGTACAAACATGTATCATAAAGATGTAAATATGTTTTGATATAGAAGTAAATATATTTTAATATGTTTTATATGTTTAACATTGTTTTAGACCCGCAGCATCGCGCGGGCTAAGTTTCTTGTTCCTTCTAAAAGAAGAGGAAATAATATGTAGATAATTAAGGGATTATGTTTGTAATTATCTCATTTATATATTTATGTGTTGGTGTTATCTCGAATTGATATAGGAGAAAATTTATCCCTTCTAATTAATCTCTACAAAAATTTAGAGTTTAGGGTTTAGGAGAGAGAATTCCTGAGTTTTGCTAGAGTTTAAGAGTGATAAATTCCTTCTAAAAAATAACGACAATGGAGTCACCACCCCAGCCCAATTCCTTGTTATTCACGAAGGCCCTGTAACTTTACCTGCCCTATCCTATAAATTGCCAAAATTTTCTCCTTTAATCACCAACTCTTTCACCGCGGCATCTCTTGTAAACAATGAATCGGAACGTAGACTTGGGAAGTCGAAGTAAAAAAGCAACGTCAGTTGATCACTTTCCTGAAGAAATCTTAGCCGAAATCTTGCCGAGGCTGCCTGTCAAATCTGTAATCAAATTTACAAGAGTGTGCACGTTTTGGAACTCTCTGATCAAAAGTTCCACCTTCGCTGACAATTATCTCAGCCGCTCCTTATTAATCCAATCCGACCACTACACCAAAAACGACGGTCGTCAGCTCTTTCTACTAAAGCAGATTGGGGGTAAGTATTACTCTTCGACGTTGTCCTATTATAAAGATAACCCTAACCCTGGATTTGGTAGCGCTAAGTTCACCGAGCTTCTCAAACCACCAACTTTGGATGACATAAATCGTCGGTATGAGGTTTTGCGAATGGTTGGAACTTGTAACGGGCTCATATTGGTTGCTTCTTGCGGGTACGCTCATGCCACCGATCCCACCCCCATTATTTGGAACCCTTCAGCTAGAAAGTATGTGATTTTGCCTAGGCCTTCTATTAACATCTCTTCCACCAGGACGGAGAATTTGCCTGAACAGAATTACTTCTTTGGCTATGATTGTCGGACCAATGACTATAAGGTCTTGAGAATTGTGAGCATCTCTAGACACGTTAAGATTGAGGTTTACTCCTTGGCCAAGGGCTATTGGAAAAGCCCTAGGTCTAGTTTTCCTGCTTATTTTATGGCTGTGCATGTTTTCGAAAATGTGTTTGTGAATGGTGCTCTGCATTGGATTCTACCCCGTGACAGAAACCTTGATGAATATCTAATTGTGTCCTTTGATTTGGGCACTGAATTATTTCACAAGATCACGATGCCTGAAGCTTTACGAAAAAAAGGTTCCAACTGCTATGTTTTAAGACGTGGGGAGTCCCTTGCCTTGATTGAGATTGAGTCCACATTCCTCGACAACGAAAGACATTTTGTCCATCAGCTTCATTTGTGGGTCATGAAAGAATATGGTGACGTGAAATCGTGGATAAAATTAGATAGTGTAGGCTTGCAAGGGACTGATCGTCCTAGGCCTCTATGTTTCAAAAGCCGTGATGAGCTGGTGATCACAATGTTCGATTGCAATAGGCAGCAAACCGCGGTAGTGGTGGATATGGCTAAAGAAACTGCAACTCGTCAAGAACGTTGCTACTCGTCATCAATGGATCCTTTTGTAGAGAGCCTTGTCTTACTTAACCATCCTAATGCACTTTCCTACTAGTTACTGGGATATATAGCCTAATGCATATCTATTTGGAAAACTTATTGCTTCTTATTAGACAATTACAGAAACAGTTTCTGGAGTTTAGTAAGATAGAATAACAATATCTAACAAAAAGTTCGTGATTAATTTCTATGTTTTCTTCTTCCAACTTAAATGAGATATGCTCGTATTGAATTTCATATATACATAATTGTTTTCGTAGTGCAGTAATGCATTATCCAAGATTTGCAATGTATTACGTTGAATCGTCTGTTGTTTGCATATCACCTATCTGTTTTAGAATTAAATGCCAAATGTGTTAAACTGAATGAAACAAAGCTTGCTTAACTTCTAAATGCGCCACTAATAATTTCGAAGGGATCCTAGCGAGCAGCTTCTGTGCACTTGTCATGCTCAAGTCCTTAGATTCATCAAATATGTTCTTCATTCACATGAGCTCCAAAGTCTGCTCTCAATTATTGAAGGCGAGCCCCAACCCATTTTCGTCCGCTTTATTACTTGACACGCCCCAACCTTGATATCCCCACATACCAGGGTAGGTACGTGCTGGCCGACACCCGAGGGTGACGAAGCCATTTTAGAACACGGATATAACTAAAATATATGCAATTAGAACGATTATACTACAACAGGAATGTATTTAGAGCATACAACTAACTAAGAGTAATATGGAAGAATTACTATAAAAAGATACGAACAAGGGAATGATACCTACACTAAGAAGACTCGAGGATACTTATGCCATTGTGTCCTGACGCCAGGATCATGTGTCTCAATCCTAATTCCTAAGGACGCGCAAAAAATGCATGATTTTACTATTAAAAATGCATACATGAAAAGCATGATTTTAGGGATACGTTTTATGAAACGTTTATGAGTAAATTGGTTTCACACTTTATGAATTATCATGCTTTGTCGACTTTACGTTCTTTGTGGTATATATGATTGATGATTATATACATACTTATGAATGTGGTTTTACGATATGACGTCTTAGTTACTGAGCTCTGTTTGGCATATATATATTAGAAATATTATATTCATGTTTTTATGTGCTTATTTAGAGGTTACTCATACGATTTGCTTATGGGCGAATGTCCTGCCTACGGGCGAATGATACTGCCTACGGTTGAATGATACTACCTACGGGCGAATTATATCTATATATGGCTTCGGTCAGGTGATGTAGAGGCCTACAGACGAATGATATCTATTTATGACTTCGGTCGGGTGATGTAGGGGCCTTCGGGTGAATGAAGATTTACACACACACACACCTTTGTGCTACTACTATTAAGCACACTATATATAATATATGTTTTATAAAGTTTTATGGCATGCTAGGGGTTTCGGAAAAACCTATTACATATTATACTATTGAGTTTTCATAAACTTTGGGGTTAGTACATTGATGAATAACTGTTTCAATATTACTTATATATCAACTTGGTCCACTCATGTTTTGTTTTGCGCCCCCTCAGGACTTAGAATCGAGTCGTACAATCCTGGCGTCAAGGCATTCCCACATCGGCATCCTCGAGTCCTCTCGGTGTAAGACCCATCCCTTGTTCATTCAATTTAATATTATTTCTTTTTAGTGTCTCAGATTAATTGTATGCTGAACACGTTCCACAATTGCATATTCATTATAATTAAATTTACAAGTTTTATTTATGTCGGTTAATTGTTTTTGGTTATCATGTATCCTAATATGACTTCGTCATCTTCGGATGTCTGCCAGCATGTGCCTACCCTGGTGTTTGAAGAATATCAAGGGCAGACCTGTCACACCGCGCGCCCCCCCCCCCCCCCCCTCCCTTTTCTCAATTCCGATTCTCCACAGTGTCGGCAAGAGATTGAATGAGAGTAGGCAATAGATTCAAATTTAACGATTAATTTCATAATATAATATTGATTGGTTGGTTAATATGATACCGGGTATTAGAGATTTGCTCAGGATTTAGCATTTAGGAGGGATAATTTCTGGTTTTAGCTTAAGTTTAGGAGAGATAAATTCCTTCCCAAAAATAGCGAAAATAGAGTCACCCACCCAGCTCTTTTCCCTGTTATTCACGAAAGCCCCATAACTTCACCTGCCCTAACCTATAAATTGCCAAAATTTTCCCCCTTAATCACCAACTCCTTTTCACGGCGGAATCTCTTGTAAACAATGGATCGGAACGTAGACTTGAAATGTCCAAGTAAAAAAGCAATGTCAGTCGACTGCTTTCCTGAAGAAATCGTAGCAGATATCTTGATGAGGCTGCCCTTCAAATTTTTATAATCAAAGTTAGAAGAGTGTGGAAGTCATGGAACTCTCTGATCAAAAGTTGCACCTTCATTGACACTTATCTCAGGCGCGCACCTTATTAATACAATCTGAACACGAAAACAACAACGATGGTCCGCGCCAACTCCTCTTACTGAAGAAGAATGGAGGGCACTATGTTAATAGTTTTCACTCGTACTATGGGAATATCTTTAGCTCTTCATCTGGTTACACCGTGCTCATCAAACCACCAACTCCGGATGTAATTAAACGTTGTTTTAGTTATTTGTCAATGGTCGGAACTTGTAACGGGCTTATATGCCTTGCTGACAACGAAGGCCTTCGGGACGAAGATGCCCCCACAATAATTTGGAACCCTTCAGTCAGAAAGTATGTGATTTTGCCTAGCCCTAATATTAAGAAGGGCAACTTTACGGGTACACATACCTATTTCTTTGGCTATGATTCTCTGACCAATGACTACAAGGTCTTGAGAATTGTTACCGTAAGGAAATCTTTGTTGGGGGTTAAGGTTTACTCCTTGGCCAAGGGATGTTGGACAAGTCTAAGTGCTGCTGCAACTGCTGTTTTTCCTACTTATTTGTGCTCGTGGCTCTTGAGTAATTCGAAAGACGCATTTTTTAATGATGCTATGCATTGGATTCTACCCCGTGACAAAGATTCCAAGGAACGTCTCATTGTGTCATTTGATTTCGGCACTGAATTATTCCATGAGATCGCGATGCCTGAAGATTTTGGAAAAACAGGTTGCCCATCTTATGTTTTAAGATATGGAGATTCTCTTGCCTTGGTTCAGATGTTTCAGATTGATGACGGAGGAGAATATTTTGTCTATAGGCTTCATTTGTGGGTCATGAAAAAATATGGTAACCATAGTGTACTCTTCGAAGGATATCGTCCTAGCGTTCTTGGTTTCAATAACTGTGATGAACTGGTGATGACAAAATTGGTGGATGGCCATAGGCGGGCCATAGTGGTGGATTTCAAGACCGGAACTAAAGATGCCGCAACTGCTCTAGATGGCTACTCATCAATGAATCCTTTTGTAGACAGTCTTATCTTACTTGGCCAGCCCAACGTTGTTTCCTACTAATCAATTGGCTAGCTCCATGGATCTGTACTTTCTAAAGTATCAGCAGGCAAAGAACAATATGTTGCAAAATTTTCCTTCCCAACTTACATTTGGAATGCTTGAATACTTTTTTTCCATTCCTAAGCTATTTGATTCCTTACCTCTCCGTTATACATAAAATTGAGATTATTTTCTTTATTTCATGCCCTGAATGCGTTTTGTTGGTTTACTAAAAAAATGTGTGATGATGAATCATCTGTTGTTTGCATATCCACGTCAGTTTATTGACATTTTTGTTTAGATTTAGTGCAAAACGTGTTATGCTGAATGAAATGAACATATCATGCACAAAAGTGTTGCGTCTTTACTGAGAATAAATTCTGGTTGATAGATCATATCATGGTTGCAAGTGAAAGTAAAAGGGAGCAAATTAAAGAAACACAGCTTTTCATGGTAATAGGCTTTGTTTGAATTGGCTCACCTAAGAGGAAAATAATAAATACCAATTGATCGATCATATCATCTTCTTTCACCCCAATCCAATCATTTGCATCTCGAAACTTGAATAGGCTCACCTAATAGGCTGCGGTTGGTCTTGATCGAAGTAGCACATCGAGTAATCCCTGAGGCAGTGGAGCGTTGTCCCCTACTATTAGGAATGCTTAGTCTCACTACTGCACATAAAGCCATTTTATTGAAGATAGTTGTAACTTGTAACGCAAGAATTCCAAGCTCGTGGTCGTACAAGGAAAACACGTGTGTGATTTAGGCTATACAGTGCCATCTTTAAACAATATTTCTCCTTCTCTTTATACCAGGGAACAAGTTGTTCCACATACACTTCTTCTTCAAGTAGTCTTTGAGTCTTCACTATAGCTACAAAGATGCACTTTTGACCACGATCAAGAAAGCTTGTAAATTGTCATAATTTCTCTCTTCGCCTTCCAACAGAAAAAGGCTTGGAAAATTGATCAAGTAAAAACTAAAAAGGCAATGTCAATCGACTACCTTGCTGAAGAAATCATAGCAGAAATCTTGCTGAGGTTGCCCGTCAAATCTTTACTCAAATGTAGAAGAGTGTGCAAGTCGTACGTGGAGCACTCTGGTCAAAAGTTGTCCCTTCATTGATACTCATCTGGTCCGCTTCTTATTAATTGAATCCGACCACCGCAACAGAAACGATGGTCGTCAGCTCTTTCTACTACAGGAGAGTGAAGAAGGTGAATATATACATCACACATCGTATTATGCTGAGTAATGTACCGAGCTTCTGAAGCCACCAATTTTGGATGAAGTAATCCCCTTGGGGATTTGAAAATGGTCGAAACTTGTAACGGGCTTACATGCCTTGGTCCTGAGTACGGCACGTACATGAATAGCACGGCCACAGGCGCTGCCCCGTTAAACCCTTCAATTAGAAAGTATGTGGATTTGCCTTTGCCGCCTAATATAGAGGAAGGGAATGGAAAAACTTATTTCGTTGGCTGACTGTCGGACGAATGACTAAGGTCCCGAGAATCGTCACCAAACCTACAAATGTGAGGAATTTGAGATTTTCTCCTTGGCTAAGGGCTACTGGAAATGTCTTAAAGCTGTTTTCCTGCTTATTGGCGCTATGAGCTAACCGGAGATGCCGTTGTTTTATAAAGCTCAATTCTTCGATTTCTGATGTATTTGAAACCCCGCAGCTGGCGGCCTTCTCCCCAGCCTAAATGCATACATTATACACAAATCACAGCCATTCAATCTCATCATTCTTAACCATTTAAATCAGACAATTAAAGAAACTAATTACACAATTATGAAAAGTGCATTACAAGTAAGAGGTTATTAGTGGTCTTCCCCATGGAGCACAAGTGCACAACGACAGGATTTTCATCGGGAAAACAGACAACGAGCTGAGCAACCTCTTTCGTCCTCTCCGCAGACGCCAGTTACGATCCTCCTAACTTCATCACGCACGTAAACGGCACCGCATCGGAGCCGCGGCTCTCTGTCGCATTCTCTTCCCCTTCTTCTCCACGCATAGCTTCGATTCTTTTCTTCTCGCTCTTCGCTCTCGGCCTACTGCTTCTGCATGCATTTTCGACAGCAGCGTAGAACGATCACGACGGCGCAGCTGGGGAGGACGGCAGCGGCAAGTGCGAGAGTCTTGGACTTCGCGAGTGGCAGGGGATTCTACCCCGCGGAAATGCAAGGAAGCCTCCATTTCTGCTTGCAAGTTGTTGGACGAATTATCAAACTTTTACACAATCTTTGCAGGTGGGAAATAACTCGGAATTTTAACAAAAGTTAAAATTTATAAATTGACAAGCACTAATTTTTTTTATTTAAATTCATAAACATAGAAATTTAGAATTTTTACTTGGAAAAAATTTGAAAGTTGAGGCCTCCAATTCCCAAGTTTAAATTCAACGTAAATATGTATCATTTCTAAACTTTTATGGTGAGAGTTTAAAAATAACAAATTTCGTATTAAAATTTCATTGTTCTTTTAAATTAACCAAACAAGAAAATTTACAAATTTTAGGAAATAAAATTTTATCATTTTAAAATTCCTTAATAATCTTAAATTTCTTCATCCCAACATAATATAAGAATTTCGATTTTGCTGGATTTTCATTCGTTTTCCAGAATTTTCTCCTCAACCAAACAAAAAGCAGGAGTGATAGAAAAACTAATGAAGAGACTTACGAACTTTGAGTTTTAATGATAAAGATAAAATAAAGGATAAATAAATAATATCAAAATTAACTTTTTAATATAAAAATATAAATTTTCGTTAAAATAAGCAGTATATGAGCTTTTCATTAAACTTCTTATTTTATTTCGGAAATGGTTTTCTGCCGACTTTTTTATAGAAATTAAAATTTTTCTGGCATTTTTCAACGGTTTTTTTTTTCTTCTTTTCCTGCGAAATCCCATGCGCGTAAACTGTAAAGTAAAGATTTTTGGGAATCAAAAGCTTAAATTCGAATGTCGTCTTCCTTCGCTGTCCAATGTTCTCTGCTGCATTCCCGCGCTTTACAGCATCCCGATCAGACTCCGTTCGCAAAAGCTTCCAACTTTGCTCAAATTCCATCGTGGGTGTCTCTTAAATCCACATGTCCGTCGATCGAAACCCGCCAAACAGAACTGAGCCAGGTCGAAAATGTGCACTTGGTTTCTCTCTCCAAGCAAGGGAAGCTCAGAGAAGCGCGCCAATTTCTCGAGCAGATGAACGAAGCCGGTGTATCCGTGAGTCCTCAATCGTATAAATGTTTATTTGAAATGTGTGGATTAAAGGGTTCGTTGTTAGATGGAAAATCTGTGCACAGATGGTTAAGGAGGACAGTGAAGAACCCACCTGAGTTTCTTGAGAACGACGCTCTGCAGATGTATTGCGAATGCGGAAGTTTATCGGATGCACAGAAGGTGTTTGATGAGATGCTTGAGAGGAATTTGGTTTCTTGGGTTATAATTATATCGGCATATGCGCAGAAGGGTATTCTGAAAAGAGCTATTTCGATGTTTTCAAAAATGCTGGAGACTGGGATTAGACCGAATGCATCAATTTTTACAAGCGTTTTAAGTTCCTTGACGGAGGATTCGCTTTTGGAGCTTGGGAAACAGATACATTCTTATGTGATAAGAAGTGAAATGAGTAGTAATGTTTCGGTTGAAACGGCGATTGCAAACATGTATGTGAAGTGTGGGTGGTTAGAGGGTGCTAGGCTTGTTTTCGATAGGATGGAAGAAAGGAATGCTGTGGTTTGGACTGGATTGATGGTAGGCTATACTGAAGATGAGAAACCGGAGGAGATTTTGGAATTGTTTGCTGAGATGGTTAGGAAAAGTGTAGAGGTGGATGATTTTGTGTTTTCGATAGTTCTCAAGGCATGTGCTGGTTTGCAGGACTTGAATATGGGAAGGCAAATTCATGGCTACAGTGTTAAACTTGGGTTGGATTCTGATGTTTCTGTAGGAACTCCTCTAGTGGACTTCTATGTCAAATGTGCAAAATTTGAGTCTGCTTGCAGAGCATTCGAAAGGATACATGAACCAAATGATGTTTCATGGAGTGCTATAATCTCTGGCTATTGCCAGAGTGAGAAATTTGAGGAGTGTGTAAAGATTTTTCAATCTTTAATTACTAAAGGTGTTACCTTAAATTCGTTTGTATATACAAGCATTTTTCAAGCCTGTTCTGCAATCGCAGATATAAATTTGGGGACTCAAGTTCATGCTGATGCAATAAAAAGAGGGCTCATTGCATTCTTACATGGAGCAAGTGCATTGATTACAATGTACTCAAAATGTGGCAGATTGGACTGTGCCTATCGAGCATTTGAATCAATAGATAAACCTGATACTGTGGCCTGGACTGCAATAATATGTGGTTATGCTTATCACGGCAATGCCTCCGAAGCTCTTACGCTTTTCAATAGAATGCAGGATTCCGGCGTTAAGCCAAACTCAGTTACATTTATAGCAGTTTTAACTGCTTGCAGCCATTCAGGTTTGGTGACTGACGGAAAACAGTTTTTGGAATCAATGAGTAGTGTGTATCATGTAGAACCAAACATTGATCATTACGATTGTATGATTGACATATACTCCCGTGCTGGGCAACTACAAGAGGCACTTGATCTGATAAAGAGCACGCCGTTTGAACCCGATGCAATGAGCTGGAAAAGTTTATTGGGTGGATGCTGGATACATCGAAATCTTGAGCTCGGAAAGTTAGCAGCTGAGAACCTCCTCCAATTGGACCCGGAGGACACTGCTAGTTACATTATCATGTTTAATTTGTATGCATCATCCGGGAAGTGGGAAGAAGCTGCAGTTTATAGAAGAATGATGGCTGAAAGGAACTTGAGGAAAGAAATCGGATGCAGCTGGATAACCGTCAAGGGTGAAAAGCATCGGTTTATAGTGGGTGATCAACACCATCCTCAGATAGAACAGATATACACGAAACTGAAGGAGCTGAGCATTTCTTTCAGGGATGCTGAAGATTCGCTTCTTACCGAGGACGACGTATTGAGCGGTTTTCCTGAAAGGAAAGAACAGCTTCTTGACCACAGTGAGAGACTTGCTATAGCATTTGGGCTTATTTCCATACCAGGTGATGCTCCTATTGTGGTTTTTAAGAACATCAGGGCGTGCAAAGATTGCCATGAGTTTGCAAAACATGTTTCTGTGGTAACGGGGCGTGCAATTGTTGTGAGAGATTCCAACAGATTCCATCACTTCAAGTTTGGGGAGTGTTCTTGCAGAGATTATTGGTAACCTAAGAAAATTTCAAATGTAGATTTGGGCATGACACATTTTGGATGGTTTGAAAGAGCAACCTCATGGTTACTAGTTGATATCCGAGAAAAACGTAACTACATCTGGAATGTCACTATAACGACATATCAAGTTAAAGAACATGATCAAGTGAGAAAGTTAAACAGCAGCATCATCGTATAGGTAAGTCATTCCCCCGGTTTCGGGCAGGCCACATATCTTGTCATACATTCGTGCGTCTAATGGGGTGCATTCACTTAAAATTTGATACAAAAGCAAATGATTCATGATGTGATTTGTGATGGTAGTTTTGTTTTGATCTTAGATTTTAATTTAAACTTTTGGATGTATAGACTTAGATACGTGTTGGTGATGCACGTTTTTAAGTTGTTTTTGTGGGTTGTTCCCGCTTTAGTTTTGCCCTATCAAATTGATACTTTTGCACTTCTATTGAAATTCATGTTGAACACGTCATTGATGTATGATAGAAATTTTAATAAACATCATTATGTTCACGATTTGATCTACAATATTATGCTGATATTATATGTTGTATTCAATACAATGTGAAATGAACGATTGCAATTAAAAAAAAAAAAAAACAGATGCAATTTTAATATGTGATACACTTACAAGTTAGTGTACATATCATATAATGTGAAATGAACAAATACGATTTAAAAAAAAAAACAGATTCAGCCGTCGTATGTGTTACTTTTGCATGTTAGTGCACACGTGAAGCACGTGTCTCTTGAAGATTGCTGCATCAAGACGGAAGCACTACCCACCTTCTCAATTGATGCCCAATAGTACAGAGGAACACTGATATAGCCATATAGGTAGTTAGTGCGACTCCGAACTCACCCGCTTTTCTTTCCTTTGTGTGTGTGTGTGTGTGTGTGTGTGTTCAGTTCGTTGACACGTCTTTGAATGAGAATCTCAACATTTTTCTGGCCTTTTTAGTGGTTCAAAATCACCGTCATTATTAATGTTATTTACATATCTATTTTTATCTTTTACACATTTTTTTTATTTATTATATCGAATCGAATGAATTAAAGAATATTAAAATACAAAAATTAACAAGGCATAAAAGCTATTCTTTTCTACTTATTCTCCTATTTTTTTAAAAGTTTAAAAAATCTAAAAGAATTCAACAGAAGTTTTTGTTTGTATGATATCCATTATTCGTTGAAATAATATAAGAAGAAAAGCCTTTACTTGACGGTAAAAGCCGTCTAGAAAGCCATTTCTTGACGGAAAGTCATTTTTGACGTTTTTTAACTGTCGAAGTCAAGGATAGTTGATAAGAACTGGTAAATGTGCTTATTTTTATTTGTGATACATTATTTAGTTTATCAATTTTGTTTCCTCAATATTATCCTTTGTTAAAATTGTTAAAATGTCTAAGCATTTTACCATTGACATGTTATTGGCTACTCTTATCAAGATTATAGAAAACAGTTTGTTCTTTTATGTTTAGAGGAGTTTAACCTGCCAAAGTATTAAAACATTTTCAAGAGAAATTTTAAATTTTTGTTAAACTACAAAGTAAACAGTTTCGAAAAAATTATTTTAACTATTCAGTTTAAAATCCCCACCAACACACTCTATTTTAACAAACTTGAATATTTTATTATTAACAATTTAAACTCAACATGCTCATTTTCTAGGGAAAGGATTCTCGCCCGATCTTTTTCTAGGGATCCTGTGATCTCATCTATTCATTGTATATCGTGCGGTCAGAAATTATTTCAAAATTTAAAATTTAAAATTAAATATGAATAGCACCTAACGAAAATTGACCGCATGATATACGATGAACGGATGAGATCAAGGGATTTCTAGGAAAAGGATCCGTAGAGGATCCTTTTCCCATTTTCTAAACCAACCTCCTCTCTCCCTTTTCTCCTTGCTCATGAGTCCATCCTTGAATTTTATAATTATTTTTAATTATTTAACGGATGACAATGACTCTTCAAATTTAAAAAGACCATAGTTTTGATTGTTTTACATCATCTCTCTCTCTCGGAGATGCTTTAGAATACGAGTTAAAGTTTGCTGGATACGATCTAGCTTAATAAATAAAAGAAAATAAAAATGATACTTTGAGACTAAGAATAAATATATAGTGATATTGGGATCCAGGGTATCTGCTTAGAGACCAGTCTAAAGGATTAATTAGTGGAAAAAACAAAACCCACCTCCAAAGCTCCTTCTATATCTATATGATTGTATCATCTCATCAGTTTTGGTATTGGCAAGTTGCAGGTTCCATGTCGCTGAACGTTGATGGTATTGGTACTGGTATTGCCCATGTTATTGGTATTGGTAAATGGGAGGGTATTTGTTATTTATTTTCAGTTGGCGCCAAATAAAACCTGTGGTGGGTTTGTATAAAGTACTCCTAGTCCTATCCACATCCACTCCTCTCCCATTCCTAGAGTCCTACTACGGCTATTTACGTCTCAGCACAGCCAGCCAATCCCTGTCTTTCTATCCGTTTTGGTTTTGCTTCTCTCACCTCCTTGAATTCTCTCTCTCTCTCTCTCTCTCTCTCTCTCTCTCTCTCATCATTTTTTCTTCTGGGTTTCTACCTCTCTTTCTTTTCTCGGGCAGTTAACTTTAGGAGCTGAGTTTTATTGTGTGCAGCTTTCCTTGGTTGGTTTCGTTTCGTTGAGGTGAGCTTTGCTTGTTTGTGTTCCTTTTTTTTCCAACTTAGCTGTGCTCTTGATCTTAACAATGCATGTATTAATGTATTGAATATTGTGCACAAGGAGAGAACGGGCGTGCGGAAATCATCTCTCTTTTGACGATGCCTGATATCCAATCTCACAATTGTTCCTAGTAAGTATCAAACATCAAGTAATTATTTAGTGTCCGCCACCCTTACAGTTCGAGAGAAACTTACCGACACCTGAGATGTCACGGTGGCGGCCAATCATGCATTGCCGTGACTTTTTCTCGCTTCAATTTGTGATTGACTCAGAATACGATGGCATGCCAGGTGCATGGAAGTTCTTTCTACAATTCAAGATTGAGTTTGCTAGTATTTAACAAAACAGGGCAAGTGATCATTGTAATTTGAAATTGCATGGGGGTGGCACCACCACCATGAGTTGATTAGGGACTTTGCTTCTGATAAATGATGTACTTTTTGTTTAGGGACTTCCTGGACACAGCTTGAATGACTTGATTTTGGCATCTTCAAATTTGCTTCTGGTAAAAGCACTTTCTTGAAGTCATTCAAGTTCATGGATGTTGGAGAAACAAAATGTTCCTATGGAAAGCCTCCATGGATATTCAGAGGCAGGTAAGTGTCCAAAAACTTCAGTTTTTTTGGCTCTCTGTTCTCAATCATGACAAATGACTCTGCTGATTGCCCGGTTTTTCTGATCAGCGCGTTGTATCAGCTCCACCTTGTCAAAGCAACAACTGTTCGAGCATGCATCCCGAAAGAGTTCAGACTAGTTGAAGCATTTGGGTAAATGTACTATTAATTGTTGTTTAAATGATGGCTTTTTAAGCAAAATGGTCCTCAAATGAATACATCTCCTCACTTTGGTCCATGCAAATGAAAATCGATAGAAGTTGTCCCTGAGTTTGTTGACCCTAAGTCATTTTGGTCATTCTATGAAACAACTGACAATATCATTGTTAAGTGGAGGGTTGGTTTCGTGTGACAATTTAACAAGGATATTGACAGATTTTTTGTGATTACAGTGGACAAACTCAAGGACCACTTTTATCGATTTTTATTGTTGGGACCAAAGTGAGGAGTTATACCAATCTTGAGACCAGCTTTGATAAAAAGCCTTAAATGATTGAGCGATAAAGAAGAATAAGGTTGATATGATTCGGGATGGTCAAAGAATCCGATCACCAAATATGTGTTTGATTACACTTTACAGGTACACTCTTGGTGGCTTCTTTCTTGCCAACTATGATGACAGTCCAGTTGGAATGTTTGATGAGGTTCATATCTTCTGCATAATCATCACCTTACAAAGTCATACTTTTTCGGGCCTCGACACAGAAAGCTAATGAACAAGTTTTTGTTCACTACTTTTGTTTATCGCAAGAGTAATCCATGTTTGCTTTAGCAAAATATAGATAGGAATTCTTCTGAAGTTTCTTCAACCACTCACTAACAAGACTGTTTATGTTCTCCCTCTCAGCTCGTTGTGATTGCTGGACTTGTTTGGAGCCCTCCAACATCTTGCGCGTATGTTTCCTCAACCCTTTCTTTCTTCGTAATAAGCCGAAGAGCATGTAATCTTTAGGAGAGACTTGTTCTAGACTCTAAACCCTAAATCATAAGCATTTTTACTTGTTTTTTTGTCAAACAGCTGGGCAGCTAAGGTGCTTGTGAATAGTGATGAAGCTTGTGACCATGGACGAAAGGTGTGAGGCTGCATAAGGCACTCTGCCGCAGAGCTTGTCAAGGTTTCTTATTTTTTGTATGTAGTTCTTATGTTGGTTGCAGTCCCCTCTTGCAGGAAGTAGGGCTTCCAAGTCAAGTTGCGAGGTTTTCGAAGGTGTGATTTTCATTTGAATTATAAGCATTTTTTTGCAGCTTGCATATGGTGAACTCTTCCTCCCTAAGGTGGACTACGGCTAACGAAATTTATTTCTGTACAAAACAGAGGATTACAGCAGTTTCAAGGCAACCAAAGAGGAAAAACATTGGATTTCTTAATGTAATTGGTAGCAGTGCTGCTTTCTGTGATCCAAAAGAATGTATGGAAGTTCAAGTGACCGAAATCAAGGCTTCATCGGTTAAAGATTCCTTTAATTTCAACCTTACCACTTTCGGTAAGTTGGTTAATCCAAATATCTCATCTCACTAGTATACGTTTGATGTTTTTCTTCTGTGGTTTCATCCTTTGGCGTGATTCAACCATCGATATTCTAATTGCGAGTTGGACGATGGCAGTGCCTGAATCCAGTGCTGGGTGGAGGGGGCCGGCGATCAAATTGTCACTTCCAAGTTTTAGGTAAGTTTCTCCCTTTGTGTGTTGTGCACATTATTATCTATGCTATTAGAGTGTATCTTTTTCCCTTATATACTTCCTTCTGTTGTGAAATTGTAGCGGCGGCACAGAATATTATCCCAACCTTCTCAAGTACTCTTGCCGGATTGAGTGCAGGTTTTCTTTTTGTTTCAGTTGCTTTTTTATGTTCATCAAGCTTCATAAATGTTAAAACTCGCATGCTTCCATCGTTTTCTACCTAACTCAAGTGTTAATTATTAGTTTGCTACCTGATCGATTTTTGATAGGGTACGAGCAGTGCATCCAGCAAAAGTATCAGGACCATCTCCGATGCCAAAGACCAAGACAAGACAATCATCAGAAATCCATACTAGCAATACAAAGAACCACGCAACTGAAGAACTCGTGGATAACGGCAAGAACCTCTGTGAAGCTGTGATGTTATCAAAGCCTGTATTGGCATTGGAGTTCAGTTGTATGAAAATGCAGGTTGAAGCTCCAGTTGTAGTTTCCAACTGCAGGAACTCTTTAGCAACCTCTTGATCTTGTGTTCTTGTGTTGAGTTACATAATATTCCAACTAATCTTTTGGAGTGCTGTAATTTATATTTTTAATATCAAACAGATCAATTGTTTGAAACTATTATAAAAAATAAAATAAATAAAATGGAAACTTGGGATTTTACAAAAGCACCTTCTTTCTTTCCTGTTTTTCCTTGAGATGTTTACAAAATTCTTCTACTTTCCACAGCATGGACAAACCCATGTAACCTGTTACAAATAACAAACAAATGCAATTTTTTTCATGCTCAGATGATTAAACCTTTGCAACCAAACTTCTTATAATCTCAATCCGGCGACAATGTAACTTATCAGTAGATCAGAACACTTCTGGCAGAGGCCGGCCCTTCAAAAACGACTTGAACAGCACGAGTGATCTCTCAGGCTGCGAGAATGGCGCTTCGTGTGATGCTCCTCTAACGGTGGCAAAAGAAAGAATATTACCGTAAACTTGAGTCCATCCACCAACCTGCAGGTGATAAAAACATGAAACATGCATTCATCGCGTTACAATTTATGACAGAAGCAACCAAAAATTCTTAGATTTTAGTAATCTTGTAGTAAATTCACCTGTTGTCCTTCAAACCAGACTCTATAAGGCACAGTGGTGTTTAGTCTTAACTGCTCTGCAAGTCCATGAACTAATGTTCGACTTCCAGTTAACGGGATAACAGAATCTTGGTCGCCGCTGAAAGTTTAAAACTTGAAAATTTAGTCCACTGCAATAACATTTAAGATGAAACACAATGGTTTGATGCTGTCTAAAATTCTTCTACCTGTAAACTAAGACCGGTATTCCTGCTTTGATAAGTTTGCCTACGATTGTGATCGTTGGTATCTCCACATCCAGCACCTGATAATCCAGTATGCTGCCATAACACACAAGATATTTTCATAAGCAAAACTGTTGACATGAGCACTACTTTGAGGCGCATTCAAATTTTTTTAAATGTACATCTTCAGAAGAGAATTACTTGCTGCAAACTGCCCACTGTCGAACTCCAACAAGACGAGCATGAAGCGCCTTCTGCACGTCTGGCCTGTTCAGATAATTAACTACTTCATCCTCAACACATACATCTATTGAATCAGCAACTTGCTGCCAAAACGAACAAGTTCAATTAATTAGAAGATGGACACGAACTTCGTGAAACCAAACCAAAATTTCACGCTACAATGGAGCAATAGAGGGTATTCACCTGAGGAAGGAGGGCTTTGGATTGGGAAAACACAGATGATATACAAACATCAAGGGTGACATCATACTTGTCAACAAATTTACTGGTTTCTCTGCTCACTTGGCTCATCACCCTCGAACAAATAGGTGAAACTGAGCCTCTGTAATATTCACTCACAAACCGCGAGTAGTTGCAAACGGAACTGAACATTTTGTAAGTTGAATCCGATATCAATCCATGAGACCAGAAGAACTCAGCTCTTGAATTGAAGTCAGTTGCATATTCTAGGACTGGATTACCCAACTGCAATGAAAACGAAAAATTTAGACCAAAATCTAGACGGCGAAAGCTGGTAACTTCGAGATTTTATTACTCACAGCAATTCCTTTCAAATTGAAGTGATGTTCCTTGAACTGGAGCATGAGTTCTGCTAGCTGAGGAACAAAGTGACCTACAAATAAATAAATAAAATCAGTTCCTCCATTTCTTATTGGGGTATTTCGTTTGAAGTCGAAAATATTTTCAACATTAGGATCGAATCAATCAACATCGAGAAATAATCAAAAGTGACAAGATGATATACCAGCATAGCTTTCTCCAGTAATATACAAGCTTCTATTTCTGTATTGCGGGAATTTTTCAAACCACTTTTGCAAGAACAGAAGATTGTCCCTGGCTGTAGATAACAAGGACAAAATTCAGAAATCACACATAGCCTGTAAAGGAGAACTTTTTGTCAACCACAAGGATGATTACAAAACACCATCACACATGGCATATCTGTAAAGTGAATTTTTCGAAATTAAAAAAAAAATGAAATTAGTGCAAACCCCAGCATGAAATATTCTTTTGAATATTTGGTGTAAAAAGGAAATTAAAAGATTTCATGTGGATCTTTTGAAATTAGAAGAATACTTTCTTCGTCTTTGGGAAATGAACAAAGGAAGATGATAGGAAGACAAGTTGACTTGAATGTTGGGTGCAGAAGATTTTTCTTTTCTCTTTTTTCCTTGCTTAGCAAGATTTTCTGCTTGCTGAGAAAATTTGGAAGAAATTTGGAAGACGGAATGTAGATAAAGATTTAGGACCCGTCTTATAACCACTTCGATTTTAGTTTTAATTTTTTGACGGAAAAATAGAAAACCAAATTTGAAATTGGTGAGTCATGCCTGTGATGTGATCGGCTACAGCCTCATAGGAAGAAGTATCCGTTGAGTAAGAGAACCCCACTCCAATTGGTGTCTCCAGGTACAGCATGTTTGCTTCTGCAAATCAGTAAGCATGTTAGCAATCTGCACCGTTGGATTGTTTCGAAACACCGCATTGATAAAAAAAAAATCTCACCTCTATTCCAGCTATGTTCATTTCGAACCAAGACTTCTCCTTTAGGCCTAAACGGTCCGTTCTCAGAGAATGCTCCGACTCCAAGGGAAGAACAACCAGGACCTGGAAAAATCACAACCCATAAAAAACCCAGAAGTAAAACCTCATTGTTTTAAAAACCCAGGTGGTAAAAAGTAAAAAGATGGAAAATTTAATGGTGGGTAAGAAATGGGGACCTCCATTGAGCCAGAGGACAAGAGGCTTGGAAGCTGGATCTATTTCTGCTTCAGCAAAATAGTAAAACAGAGCTCTCTGTTTTTTCGCATCAACGGTCACATAACCAGAATACTGCTGGAACCCGACGGGGGGCTGACCCGGCAACCCGGTAATTCTGTCGAGCAGAGAAGGAGAAGCTTCTGCTTCAACGGAGGAAGAAGTTATGTGGAAGAGAATTAGAGTGAGTACAATGGTGTTCCATGGTAGGGAAATCATGGGTTGAGTGGGAGGAGAGAGCAAAGAGCCCAGAGAGAAGGAAGGAAAGAGAGAGTGAACGGAGGTCAGCTGGGGCTGCAATGTTGGCCGGAGTGGGGGCTCTATATAAAGATGAAGGCCTGATTTGGTACATTCTGAAAAAAATTGGTATAAAAAAAAATTGGGAGCTGTTTTTGTATTTAGTAAACATTTTTTTCATAGTTTTGGGTGAAAAAAAGCCAAAAACAAGAAGCTGCAAAATCTAGCTTTGAAAAATTGATTTTTTTTCACATCTGTTTTACATAAAAGTTTACCAAATACTATAATATTGCTTTTTTTTTTTCAAAAACATTTTTACAAAAAAATTTACTTAATACTCTGCTGCTTTATTTCACAACTGTTTATTCTCTAGTACAGCAAAAACAATTTTTTTTTTAAAATACAAAAATATCAAACTAGCCCTAAAAGAAAGGGGATATATCTTGTTTTTGTAATTATTATTGTTTGAACTGTTGTCCTTTCAAAGACTTGGGCCTGAAACAGAGATGTGTGTGATCATGTGAGGAGGAGACCCCTGGTGTGAATTCACCGAATTGGTCATTTTGGGGTCACAACTCACAAAAGAAAGTCTTTGGTCCGACTGATGCACCGCGTCATCCGTCAATTTCAATATTTAGTAATTTACTTTTTTTATTCGTTTAATTATTTTATAAAACTGACTGTCAATGTGAAATGTGACTTACTATTTAGTCGATGAAATTGACAAAAAAATTAAATTAATGTAATTCAGAAATCACGTGATTTAAAATGCAAAAATTAAATCTCATAGCTCATTTTGCAAATAACTCTTAAACCTTGTAATGGAAATTGCAGTGAATCCAAAATTGAATTAAATAAATCTTTTCTATATGGAAATGAAAAGGAGCCATAAGCATGGCATCACTCAAGAGTTGAAGGTGACAACCAACCAGAGTGTAATTAATAATTATGTCTCCACGGAAATGCACTACAACTAAACTTCTAAGAAATAGTGAGGGTTGAAATGAGTGATGATTTAGGAGGTCAATGCCAATAGTAAAGACTTATCGCATCTTGATTCATGGGCTACGATTAAAAAAAAAAACAAAAAAAGCCATTGTGCATTGATGATTTTAACGTTAATCATATTTCAATCTATATTGGTCCATATTGAAGATTTTTAACGTAATCCAATCTACATTTGATCAATTCTCTAAAAACGTACAAACATATGAACGACTAATCTTAGTACAACATTCAATCTTTCAGCAATAACTTATTTAGTTATCCTAATAAATGATATAAGATTGTATTTGCACGTGGGCTGTACAGCACTCAGCCGCAGCTGGCTAACCTCCTTTTTTCCACGGTAGATGGTTCCGTGTGAAGTAGGACAAAACAACAAAACATATTCCGTTATATGTCTTGTTTGCTTCTTCTCAGCCATCGAGCTCGCCTTAAGGTAAGGTCTCAATCTTTGCTCGTGACAACTTGGAAACTGGTCCAACTTATTATCCGTTTTATTTTTCCGCACAAATTAAACCCTAGTTAATCCGCATGAAAATTTTTGTTTTTATCGTGGCCAAACAAAATATACTTACTTGTTGGCTGTTGCAGCAGCTAGCATCTCTGCAATATTTAGGTCACTTTTGAAGAAAAAGAAAACAGGGTTTCAATGAAAAGTGCCTGTGCTCAACTTTGGTTGGGAAATGTGCCTAAGAATGGAAGTGGAGCCATGAGCAATGAGCAATGAGCATTCTGTGAGTCTTCAAATGGAAGCAAAGGTTTACCTTAATGGGTTTCTTTCTTTTGATTATATTTTAGTTGTTTACAGGTGGAAAAGCTGGCCAACTTTCTGAGTCGATATTGTCTATTTTTTGTTTCTTGTATTGGCCTAGAGTCTAGACACGCATGGTTAGAACCCATAAATTTTGGTTTCATATTCGATTAGGGTTTCTGTGTATGGACAAGTAAATGACAGTGGATTGAGTTTTTTCGTTTCTTATTTAAAACCCTTCAAAGTTTCAATTTACATGATTCTAATACTTAGAAAAGGTAGTTTGTAGATGTATACAAGTCGTTGGTAGTTAGTTTGTCTCAGCAATACATGTATACAAGTAGAGAATTCCTAAAGCCTATTACGAGAATTTCTTATCTAGCAAGTAACCCACTATTTATTATACTGATATTGTTTTTTTATCAACATATTGTCCTAAACTTAAGCCTATTACAAGGATCTTGTATCCAATAACTCAACCTTTTATTTGTACAATCAATAGGTGTTAGATTTTATCATAAAAGTTAAAAGTTGAATCAGTTTACATATTGTAATTTATTTAGTTAATACTCACAATATTTGGCCTAGACACACATTTTAGAACCCATAAATGTTGGTTTTCACATTTGAATTGGTTTTCTGTGCGTGGATAAGTGAATGACAATGGATTGAGATTTTGGCCTCTTTACTCCATTTCTTTTTATTTATTTAAACCCATTCGAAGTTTCGGTTAATTGTGAAACCCTAAAGAAAAATTAGTTAAATTTGTAAAAGTCAGACCAGCTTTTAACTTGACAAAATGGATGAATTATTGACACAGGTGAAAACTAGAAGGAAAAAAAAAAAAAAAAAAGAAGATCGATGCGTTGAAAATCTCTCTCTCTCTCTCTCTCTCTCTCTCTCTCTCTCTCTCTCATGAGTGTTTGTGTGGTGATGATGGGGTCAAGAGGCAATGATTTTCACTCGAGCACGTTGGAGAAAATATTTGCGGTTGAATACGCCTGCAGGCAAAACATGCTATGTAATGTGACATTTAATTTTTGAATAATGTGAAGACTAAATTTATAGATAAATTTTTAAAAATTAAAGAATATGGAAGTTGATGATTGATTTATTATTTACACGTTGATAAATGTGCTTATTATTATTAGTGACACATCATTTAATTTGTAAATTTAGTCTTCAAATTTGGTCCCTCTAATATTACTCTTAAATTTTTTTTTTTACAAACCCTAGATCACTCGTTTTGTAGACACAAAAGGCAAACCCTACCAAAAGCCACTGCCTTGCCGCCCGCCCACAGCATGTCTCTACATTTTCATCTTGGAAACCTCCTCCCCCCACCCACCACGTTTGCCTTTTCTTTTCTTGCGGTCCCATCTCAAGCTCAACTACCTTCCAATGCAATTGTGGAGAGAAAAGTATGAGAGTTCCAACTCCAAGCCTCTTAACCAAGCATAATCTAATCCAGTATAATGATTTCAGTGTAATAATTATGAGGAAAACCATGATAGATACGTCCATTTGTAGGCTAATCTTTAAATTTGAAGGTGAGTTTACACTTTATCCTTCTCGTTTTGGATTAATGACAATTGTGATCATATTATTTAATGATGCTTTTTCTAAACCCAGTCAATGATATGATATTTGAAGAAACGAAACTTGCATATCTACAGTAACAATATGAACCATTTAAGCAACCGGATGATAAGAAAAAAGATTCAGATAAGCAAATTATAGCTCAACACTTTTTTGTACAAAATACAAGGATTGTGGTCAAATAAACTATCGGTTCCATTTTTCAAAACTTTCCATGCATTTCAATATTTGCTATGAACATGTTTATCGGTTAAACTTTTAATTCAAACAAGCAAAAACACGACCTCATATAAAACTCCGGCTAACAAAACAAATTCCATAAATTATATATGGACCATTTTTTTCCTTGTACGGACATCAAAGATAATATGTAGACCAATAGAAATCTTTATGAGCAAGAAAATAAGAACCTTTCCAGAGAAAGCATTAACTTTATAGATATAACGTGATGAACATTAACTCATGTGACATTAATTTATCGTCCATGTAAGTTAATATTAAGTTGATTAAATGCTCAAAAAAGTATCGACTTAATAGTTTGACAGATTGATAGGCCCAGGGTAGATCAATTTGTAATTTTAGGGTTGTTTCTTTGCTAATTTTTGTAAGGCAATGCATTGTTACATACTCTAAATCACAGATATGCAAATATAATTAATCACCATAAACTTTAATTATAAAAGAGGAAGATTCTAAATGATGTAAAACATGTAGGGTTGTGTGTGCAATGTGTGTAGGGTTCATAGATTAGGGTTTATAATAATCCTAAATTAGCAAAGAAGGGACCCATTGCACAAAATGGGAAGGGGAAAAACCGATGGGGAAGGGGAATTGGGTCAAAATTACCTTTAGAATTCCAGTGTCTTTACTCTTACTTTCTTTCGTATGTATGCGCACCTTTTCACCAAAAGAATGCTTTGTTTTTTTTCTCTTTTCTTTTTACTGGGGTGGGGGGTGGGACTGGGGAGTCCACCAAGAAGGCCATGGCCCCAATGGGGGGCACTACTTACTATCATATTCAAGTGCACATGCTGCCTATCCTCCTAAGTGCCATCCAATCCTCCACAATACAAAACAAATTGTACACATCTCTCTCTCTCTCTCTCTCTCTCTCTCCCCTTTGTTAATTTGGTCCCAGTTGGTTGATCAGTTGCCCATACTCTTGTGGTAAGCTTATGTTATGACCCCCCCGGTGGGCACTTGCAATATTTTAGTTACAGTGGCCAGCGGCTTCAGTAAAACTTGCAGAGCGTGCTAAGTGCCATGGACCGCGTGACAGACAGTCCAGTGAGTGAGAGAGAGATTAGGAATATTTCTTATCCTTCAACGGCCATTTTACAACGTTCCATCTGCGAGAGGACAAAACCATTTTCCTAATGTTATTCTTTCTCATGACCCATAAATGAAGTGAATCATCAATCATGTAAACAAGTATTTCACTACAAGCACTGCAGGTCTTGTGTGGAAAATATGATTCATAAAGCTAAAAAATTTTAGTCCAGATTGCCTAATCACGTGACACGTTTAACCACTTAATATCAACAAACGTATTGCCATATTATCGACTTCGATTACATAATTGTCGATATAAGTTGTTTGCACATTTCACTATTCACAAACATTATTTTGACAAATAATAGAATAATTACAATAAATTATTTTTAAATTGCAAGACGAGAGATTCAAACTTTGTTGTACAAAATGAAGGACACTGCAGCACTTGGCCATTCGTACATATTACCATTATTACTTGGTCCAGGTTTCATCTCATAATTCTGAGAAGGGGTGGTTGTGGAGGGATTTTTCGGTGTACCCGGCACACCAAAAAAATTTGGTGTACCCTCACTCATAATGGTGAGGGTGCACCAAAAAAATTTGGTGCACCCTCACTTTTTGTACACCAAAAAAATTCTAATGAGTGAGGGTACACCAAAAAAATTTGGTGTACCCGGTACACCTAAAAATTTTCGGTGGTTGTGGGAAAAAGATATCCATAGTCAGCAGAAAGAGCCGTTGAAAGATAAGAGTGGACTTTTCCGTATTCTTCAAAACCACATACACAAACATACACAGAAGCATCGGAACGGACGACAGGAGTCATTGTTATGCCTACCATATATTGGCATGAAAATGGTTGGTGGATAACTGAATGCCGCAAGGTAGAAAAACCAACAACAGTAGATGGTGATACTCCGATCAGCTCCTATGCGTTCAGAATTCAGAGTAGGAACTTAATTGGGTGGAATTAAAAGAAGAAAATTTTAATAAAAAACTTTTGGTACTGTTCGCTTTAACGAAAAACCACATTTTTACACTAAAAAATCAATCATGATACTATTCATTTTATCTTTTATTTTGTCCTTATCGTTAAAACTCAAAGATTTCAAGTCATTTTCATTAGTTTTCCTTTAAAAGAAACGTAAATGACGTACTAAAATTTCGATTTGTACAAAAAAAGGAACTCTTTGATCGTGATTCGTGACTATGTATATAGAGGCATTACAAGGGAGGAACTCACTTCTCATGTGTATCAAGCAGAAGCTCAGATGAAAATTGCTACAACAAAACCAGTTAACACGAATAAAAGAAGTAAACGTAAAATCGCTTGCAATAGCTTATACATCAAACAGATCTTTACTTCCAGAGTTTCAAGCACAGGTTTTTCACCGTGGAGCAGATTTCTGTGCAACAGACACGGAAGAGTCTTGATCAATTGCCTTGCGGGATTCTTCCCACAGCCGGCTCTCAATTCCCAACTTCCTGAGTTCCATCAACCCTTCCTCAACTGATCAAAAACACGGGTATAAACAAAACCCCATAACGCTGTAATACCGAATCTCAAAAAGAATGCAATAGTTTTGTGTGCAAGGACTGAGTGAAACGTAAAATTTTGAGGAAAAAATAAATAAAACTTACCATCGACAGCATCATGTGAAGACGGTGCATGCCCACTGCGGTTAATCCAAAACTGAACTCTTTCTTTGGCAATGTCCTCCTCTATTCCAAGAACTTTGGCTCTTCTCCAAAAATAAGTAAGCCATGCCTGTGACAGTTGAATATGCTTAATATCATTACATTAACAATAATTAAGATCATGTCCTTGTGAAAAATGATTTGTAACAAAGAAACGCATAGACAAGTATGTTTATTAGACCAAAAATGAAATGACTAATAAGTTTGAAGATTATGACAAGTAATTACCTCAACTTTTTTTATTGAGTTGTTATAAATCAAATGGATGTGGCAGTTGATTAACAAGCTGGTATATTTCTATGGATAGAAACCATATTATTACGTTGAATATTAGCCACAAAGGTAGGTCAAAATAGCATCAGTTAAATAGAATTTCAGCAATTGAAGTGTACATGTAATTACGTAAATGCGTATATGGAAAGAACGATTTTGTATGAATGGGACACAAATACGTAAAAAGAATGGAAATTTCAGACCTCCTTAAAAAGAACATCCTCTGACTCCTCGGGACTCAATTCTGCAAGAAACCATTAAGTTAGTAACAGTACTAAATTTTATTTGTTTATTTTCAAATATGGCAAACTATGGATCACCCAAAAGACCTGATGTATAAAAAAATATAAAATGCATACCAATAGCCTCCGTAAACTTTGGATCAGCAGGTGATTTGATATCTGAAAATACCCGTATGTGTCAAAAGACAGTAGGAACTTTAGATGATAACAAATAACAGAAGAAAAGCCAACCAGCCAAGCCAACATGATATAAAAACACAATGCATACCCGAGAATGATAATCGAACAGAGTTTGGACGCCGTTGTTGAGCCAATGCAAGCACAATTTCATCCTCAACCTTCGTTGAACAAAACATCATATATTAGTGAGAAAAAGAAAAAACAACAGATTACCGAAAGAAAAACACTGAAGCAAACTAATACAGACTGTAAAAAGAGACCAACGTTAATCTAGCATGGTGAGTCTGAGTCGGAGAATAACAGAAAAACAAAAAAAACAGTATGAGAACAAAATAAGACAGGCAATGCATCAGAAGTGCACCTTCAAGGAAGCAAGCTCCTTCAACCCCATTTCAACTGCAAGCATACTCTCAATGTTTCCTTCTCCGGTAAGATCATCCAAGTCTTGCAACAGTTTGTTTCTCTTCTCAAGACCACCATTACCTGTTCAATGTAAGACGAATTAGAGCATGCCATAACTACAATGAACTACTGTTGTCACGGAACCGAACAATACAAAAATATATACTAAACAAAAAACTCTGCAGTGATGATTACTAGCTTTTTCCCAAAGTTCCTCCTTAGCCCTTTGTCCTGCAGAAATGACGACCTCAAATGGGAGAGGAGCTAATGATGACCAGTATTCGTACTTAGCAACTGCAATATCTGCACATATACCTACAAGGCACAACAGAGATTGAGTAAAATTGAGTCATATGAAGGGTGGGCATCATGAAATCCTATTATGCTGGTAACAGCTCTGACTACTTAAGAGATTGCCCTCTTTTTATTATCTTGTACAAGTTTTCATTTTCATTACCAAATTTAGTTTATTTTCTATAACATAAAATGCAAACAAAAGCAGATATCAATGGGTAATTAATTGTCAGAATTAACGTAAAAAGAAAATAAAAACATATAAATGTATAATGAGTTCCTAGCTAAATGCTAGAAATTACGACATAGCATATCATGTAGAATACCAAGCTTTGCAGCTAAACCCCAATTGCGTGCAAGCCAACACCTCTTGAGGACTACTTCTTCCTGAAATATGGATACACTAAATAATCAGTCCCCAGACGGCTACTAATATGCTCCATCAAGTGCTTATACTATGTGTATGCATACCATTTCTTCCTGAGTCAATATCATTCTTTGTGTCATTGACCGTAGAGATTTCACTTCAGATTCAGCTCCATGGAGTTGTCTCATAACAACTGCACTCGCTTCTTTTGCTTTCTGATCCAAGCAATTAAGTTAAAGACAAAAATTAAAAGATGTTCCAGTAGTAGCAATAGAAAATTCCTCAAAGATCCAATGTAGAATAAATCATACTCTCAAAATACTAATTAAAGCACTTTCCCGAGTACTGTTTCCTAAAGTTATATATTTGTATATTGAATCTATATATTTAAAATTTTGTTATGCTTCAGACTTGAATTTAGAAACTCTTTTTGGCAGACTGACAATGACCTGATGGTAGCATGCTTACCTCAACTTCAGACTGAAGGGATGCAACCTCCTTTTCGGCCCCATCTTTTGATTGTTTTGCATCTTTTAGTGCAACCTATAACAATAAAAAACCTCTTTAGCTTTATTTGTTTTGTTTTCTCTAAAACCAATTCATGTGAATTCTGGTTTAGCAAACTCCAGATTAAAGTTAGATAAAAACAAAAAATTTCAACCGAGAGTCACCTATGAACAAATTTAAGTAGGTTTGACTTGTACTTAGGTGGGGCAAACATAAAACATTCAAGTTTCCTAATTACCTCTTTTTGCCGCAAGGCAGCTTCCTTTCTGCAGAGCAACGAGAAAAAATGTCATTAAAGGAAAATGAGAATGAAAAAGGCAGGCGTGAAGGTTATGTGAACTTTAGTACACCTGCTCAAGAATTTAGCATCCAAAGACATGCCTTCTCCAAATGCAGCAACCTGAAGACTCACAAACATATAGCCAACTTTGTATTTAATAAAAGCACACTCTCAGACATTATGCAGCTGATTATTGTATTATAGAACTTACCTGTTTTTCAAGTTCTCTAATTCTAGCCTCTGTCTCATCGCATTTCTCTTCTTCATGTCTAAGCTGTAAGATAAATTTCACAGTGGAATCAGTCAGAGATAAGGTCGATTCAACTAATTACTTATTTAAGAAATGGAAAGGATGACTTATGGCACCTTATCAAGAATATTCTCATTCTCTTCTTGTAGCATTTCAAGCTGCATTTTAAACAGTAAATAAATACCGATAGGAAATAGAAAATAATACCATATTTATCTAAAGTAGTATAAAAATGGCACATATTCAGATGTTAGGGGCAAATAAACTGAAATAGATGCAATTCATTGGCATACTTCATCACGGAGTGCAGAAGCATCACGTTGATCTCCTGGATCTTTTGATTTGTAATTTCCTATTTCTGATAAGAATCTGCAATTTGTGCACATCCATTAGCTTCACTTGTTGTATTATTCAACCAAATTGACTGTCCCACAGGCATAGAAGCGAACACAGAAATCTAATTAAAGTAAGAAATAAGTTGCAAAGATTGGCATATACACATAAAGTATTAATTTTTTAGTCAGCTTGTTCACGTGTAATGATCCCCCAATCGCAAAAGCCCATAGGAAGTTCAGTTTTCCGTCCTTGTTTAGGGTTATATCAACCATAAAAATGACATTGTTAGCAAGATATTAATCGGATTCCTTACATAGTATGTATACATTTGAAATCCCGAAAGAGAATGATAGTCAAAACCAAGGTAAACTATGATATGAGCAAGACATTGACAGAATTCAAAAAAATTATCCCTTTACTGTATTCCTAAACCTCTGAAACACAGAGTTCAACTATATAAATGACATCAGAGAGAAGATTTTTTTACCGATTCTCTTTTTTGCTATTAGTGATGGGAGGGTCCAGTGGTGGCATGGAAGTTGCTGTCCTCGGTGTTCTATTGGGTGGTACCAATGGAGGTGCCGCACGAAGAGACATTGCTGGCCTTCCTGTTGATGTTGAGCGAACCTGTGGAGTTTCGTCTAAAGAGGTCCGAGCTAACTAATTAAAACATCCAAACATTCAATTAGCCATCTGCATTGAAGCCTGAACCTCCCCATCCATTCACAATACCATTCATAGACACACACACACACATTCCTTGCTAAATACAAAAAAGTAAATTTCTACTAATCTAAGCTGTGTATGAACAAATCTAGACGTCTTAGTTTCCGGTCAACTCACTCACAGTCAATCAAACTTTCCACTCACTGGTCTAAATCCCCACAAAAGGCAGCCTTTTTCAACCAGAAGACGGCAGAATTTCACAAAATTCATAGTATATTAGACTACACAGAGCAACGTACAACCAGAATTCAAATACAACGAGCAACTAAATCCACGTTCAGTTCCCTTCCGCTCAAATTCAAGCACGGTCTGATTGCATTTCGACGAATTCATTCAAGCACTCAGTACTCACAACCGGCAAATTTCAAATTCCAAAATCTCAATAAAATTTCACAATTGGGAAAGCTCAGAGATTTACCGCGGGCGAAGGCGATCTAGTAGTGGCCCTCAAAGACGGAGCCGCAGGCTTAGCACCGGGACTGTTAGCATTCCTGGAAAGAGAGAGCGGTGGGGGAGCACTGTACCGGAATCCTAGATCATCATCTTCGTCGTCGTCGTCGTCGGCGGTCTGAGAGGCCATGACCTGAGCGAGGCGCTGGGCCGCGGCCTTGGCGGCAAAGTTCTGAGTGCGTTTGATGTTGGAAACTCCGCTGGTGGAGGAGGACCGCGCGTGGTGGCCACGAACCGGCGACATTGCCGGAGATGTAGCTCCGCCGACAGTGGCGGTGGACTCGCTCGTCCACTGGCGGGCGTAGACAGGGCTGTCGGTTCGCCTCCGGTCCATGGAGCGGTAGTTAGTCAGTCAGTTCGTTAGAGGCAATGGGAGGCCTAGATCGTCGTGCGGGAGGTAGGGATGGAGTGGACACCAAGGCTCCAAGGTCGGAGCCTTTTTCAGCTGAAGACTGAAGAGGGTGCGGTGGGGTGAGAGGTATTTGGGTCTTTGGATTGGAGACCGCTGTCTGTAAAATCTACTATACGTTAGTCAGACGTTGCATTACGTCACGTGTACTCGTGTACTCTGTAAGGGTAAATTGAAGGTGGAAACGTAATTTAAGCTCTAATAAAAAAAATTAAAGACATCAATGTCTTATCTTAATTCCACTTTACCTTTGTTAAAAATTCTATCAAAACAAATCATATGCTGCTCATTTGAGAAGAGATTTTTTAATGTGTCAGAAATATGGTTTAATATACCAAGTGTTATAACATAAGTGGTTAAATACTTTGTATATCAAAGTATGTTCTTAACACGCTAATTTTAGTTCACTGAATTTTTACCCTAAGCCATAAACTTGAAAAATAGGCTCACTTGAGGTAAAAAATTACATTTTGACCAAAATTTGAAAAAATTAATAGAGGTGGGTGCACTAAAACATGAGTTTGGTGGAAAACTGGCATTTTTTTTTGTTTTGTTTGGATGGTGAGATTTTCTAACCATGAACAACTTTGCTAGGGTTAAAATTCACCCCGAACAAAAACAAGTAAATTATTTTGATCTCTAAAACCAATTCGTTAACAACTTCATGTGTATAATGATAAGTTAACAGATACATTAATACATTTGAAATTTTCTTAAACGCTACTTAGTTAAGTTGAAAAACCGGCTAATCAAGATCAGTAACCAGTAGTTCATCCAATGAACCTTCCAAGGATCGATGCCCCCATGGACTTGGATCTTGACAACATATCAGATCTTGCATGATCGGCGTTACGGCTTGCCAGATGACTCTGCAAAATTCTACTCTCATTCCTTAGCCTATGTACCTCGGACGAAAGCCGCTCAATTGTTTCTCTTATCCGTGTTTTTCTTGATCAACGCAGCCTGGTTCTGCATAGTTTCGTCGATGAGCTCCAACATCTTTTCGTTCCACAAATTTTCTGTGTCACCAACATTAGCATCAGATACTTCATGGAATTCTTGGTCTATCTCAAACCATGCCTTAAGAGCCTTACGGTCCATGGTCTCAGCAGCGGGATGACCTCTCGAGATTGTCCTCCAAAGCCCTTAAACCCTAATTAAATCAATCAAGTATTTTGAGACAAAGTGTATAAGAGAGCTCGAATGCTTAGAATTAATTGACCCTTTGAGGAGGGGCCATGAGGCCTTTATATAAAGAGAGATCCAATAACCCTTCTAGAACTAGGATCCTTTGGATCTCAGCAGGTACGGGATGACTTAAGCCTATTTGGGTCTATAACTCTTTTTCGGGTAACTAAACTTCATACCTTAGCGAATCTGAAATATCTTAGCCTTTTTAGGACGGGGAGGAAAAATTCGAACTTGAGACCTTTTCCAATATTGAAAAGGTAAGTTCCACTAAACTACTCCAAGTAAACTTCGACTCCAAGCTACCATACTACCATATTAAAATTTAGGGTTTCTGGCCAGGGTGGAAAAAGTCTTATCAAACCGACACTCATATTTATTAGTATTTAGCAGTATACACTACCACATGTTATAACTGGTGTGAAAAAGTACACCACATGAAACAAGTAAACATTCGAGCCCTCTAAATCAAAATATTAACAAATTCTTTATAAGGTGCCAAAATCAAAACAATTGTCATAATTTACTCGAAATATTCATATGTATTATGAAAACATATAAATAGATACATTTGAAAACTTAAAACGCTACTTTATTAAGTTGAAAAGTAGCTAATTAAGATCAAGTTCCAGTGCATCCAGTTAGCCTACCAAGGAAAGATGGCCCCTTGGATTTAGACCTTGAAAACTGAGGCTTGTTTTGCCTTGTAATTGTATGATCAGTAGCATCCTTATGGCTTCCCAGATGACTCCACAAATTTATGTTCTCATCCGTTAGCCTATTCACCTGGGACAAAAGCCGCTCAATTGTTTCACTCTTCTCCTTGTTCCTCCTTATCAACTCAGCCCGCTGCTGCATATTTTCGTCAATGAGTTCCGAGATCTTTTCATCCAACATTTATCTTTTCCACAAACATTACCATCAGATTCTACACCCTGATCAATATTCTCTTTTTCCATATGTTCTTCGATGGATTCTTGGTCTGTCTCAACCTGTGCCTTCAAAGACTTGGCTTTCAAGTAAGTTGAAATTTCTTTTTCACATTTCTGGATGGTTTGGACTTTCAAGGAGTTTAATGAAGAAAATGATCTCAGATGAGAGGCTTGAATCAGTTCAGATCTAAGCTGATCATACTTCTCGGCGAGCGAACGGTACGACTTGTAAAAGTCCTCTAACATGTTTATGAGCTTAGGTTTTCTTTTGAATAACATCTCAGACCTCTTTGCAAATGAATCTCCATCTTCTTCTATTATATTTAGCATTAGGTTGGTCTTCTGGTTCAACTCTACAACAATAATATCACATCTTTGGTTAAAAAATCAGTCCTTGGTTGGAAGTGAATAATTCAACTCATGTACTACTTTTCTTTTCATATTTTCTTGATATCCCCAAAAATAATATTAGTCCGGATCTGAATCCATATATATATATATTTAGGGATTTAAATTGTGAAAAATTTTTGTGCTGAGAAAGAGTACCAAAAGATACAAAACCTAGATTCAAATAAAATTTCTTGTGCCAAAATAGTGAAGAATACTGGTATTATGAGGCGTGTGAGAAATTAGGAAATCTTGTTAGCAGTCTAAAATAGTTATCATGCACTTTTTCTCTATTAATTTCTAGATTAAAGGGAGTGCACGACGAGAATTTTAGAATGCCAATAACCACACTCTCTAAACCCTTAACCCTAAACCCTAATCCAGCAATGAAAGGAGTAAGATGCAATAGTATGGTGATATACCACGCAAAAGCTGATTTTCTATTAACTGGGTGGTCATATACTCAAAACCGCAGATCAGGAAGATGACATGAAGTAGTAGTATTACTAAACCTGAGAGAGTAGCTTCAAGCCACTGAGATTGATTGGGACGATTATGGCTGTCCCACCACCATGAAAAGGAGGCAGCCTGGTCTTCCAGCTTCTTCACCATCTCTTCTGAAATTGAACCCATCGTCTTCTCCACCGCTATATGCTGGCACTGTTGATTGAAGCTATGAAGCCAGAAACCCTCCTCCCTCTTATACACGCTTTGTCAATATCCTCCAGATTTTAAGGGCTTTAAAATAAAATATTTTCGAGAATGTGACGCGTCTTAACTCTTAATTAAGTTAAGTTTGAAATTATATGATTTTGTGACCTTTAAAATATTCGCCATGCATTTAAAAAAAAAAAAAAATCTTATATTTTAACTATGTTCTAATGTATTCTTTCTCACTGGTAAGTGAGAGGTTTTTTATTCTAATCTCGTCAAAATGTAATTTGAACCACATTATTAATAGATCATTATGAAGCAAAGATCACCCCTTTCGTTAGAGTAAATAAATATTTTTTGTTCAAAAAAGGAAATTACAGTATTAGGTTGAATGTGATAGAATCAAAACCGCAGTTTCAAAATAATTATTGAATCAAAGGTTCTTATTTAATGTATATAATATTTTATATATATATATATATATATATATTTTTTTTTTTTAAATATCAAATTCGATAATGTGTAAATTAATTTGGGATGATTAATGTGAAATTGACCGAAATTGAAGGAGTCTCAAGAAGTCTAGTTAATTTGGGAAGTCAATCTATCGATTTAAATATGAATCCCTTAAATAGTCACTGAAAATTTATTATATTTAATTATTATTCAGTACTACGATTTGATGATATTCTTTTTCGCTTAAAAGTGAAAGGTCTTAGATTCAAATTTCGTAGATGGCGAATTTGATACTAAATTAGGCTACCCATTGTGTAGTTTAACTGAATTCTCCATTTCTCTAATGTAAAAATATCGATGTACTAAAAAAAAAAAAAAAAAAGATCAAGCCAACAAAGAGACTTTACCTCAAGAAACATCCTTCATAAAAAGTGAGTTAAGCCAAATGATACGAACAATGCATCCGTCTTTTGCACGCATACTCGACCCTCTCCCCAATCCCCGCAATTTTTTTTTCATTTATTAGAAGTATTGTGTTAAAAATTAAGAAGAGGAGGAAGGTTCAAACCCGGAACATAGTAAGTTAAATATGAAGACCATAATTACTAGGTCAATTTACCACTTGCAATTCAACCTCTTTTTACAAGTTGAAGTAGTTTGAAAAATATAACCACTTGTGAAAAAAAATATAGATTTGGACCATTGCTTTTGTATCAAATAATGTTGCTGTAAAGTATAGGCAACCATCGCGTTTGCTAAATAAGAAAGCTCACGTCCACATTACCTATATAACTATGCAGAAGTGCTAAAAAAATGTAATCTCATTGAATTCTTAACAACCACTCGAAATAGCCTCATAAACTTTAATGCACCAGCAATCCCTCGACTAAAAAGATTTCTGAATTAGCGGACGTTCCTGCCCGTAGAATACAGATGGTAGTTGTCCTCCTTAGGTTTACCAGAATCCATATGTTAAGGGTTCAATACCATTAGCGTGTATGTCACGTGAGAAGAAAGATACAAAGAACGGGATTTGGTATCGAACTATATGGTAAAAGTTAAAACAATATAAAAGGTGATTCAGGCAGAAAAATCTTGTATAACATACTTCGTGTGCATGAAAATCCGTTAATTCGCTTGTTGTCGATGTTTTCTTTCTTGGAAAACCAATTTTAATTAGGAGGTGAATGCAATAGCTAAATCATGAGTTAGCTGATTAGGGACAAGGATTAAGTATAATCAGGCACCATCACAACCAGCCCAGCCATTTTTCCCACCGTACCAATATCCAAATGCTTGCCTCAAGCTTTGGATGACCAATTTCTCCCTTGCCAGACTTGGTCTTTCGTACCCCATATATACAGTTTTGTATCCCCGACAACCCCCACCGCCACCTTTCCCTTCATACGCTCATCATCCTTCACCGAAATTTACCTCCTAGTGCAGCCAATTTGCTCCATCACTAGGTTTCAATCTCTTATTTTGCGTTTTGGCTCTAGAAAACTTGCATTTACAATCCTCGTCCCGAAGCGACCATGTCTGGCAACCAATCTTTTATTTGATCGGGAACAAAATGTGCCCAACCAGAACCATCGAGCCCAAACAGAGCCACCAAAGCTCGACCAGAGTTTACCACCTCATTCCTCTTCTCACAATGATACCGACCATGAAAGCAAAACCTTGGGCAATTTAAGTGCAACTGCCAATTATTGGGTGGAAAACATGAATCAAAACGACGCCAACCAGTGTCAGGCCTAGGGCTTAGCTGGTTCCAGCATCATCTAAGGTTTCCATCCCGACTCCAATGCGACTCTTGATCCTACGTTAATCAGTTTTAGTTATCGGAAGGGTTAGGGTGCTGATTGTTTATGGTTTAATGGCAAAATCCTGCTCATTTGCCCTCCGGTAAAGCAAAGCTGATGCTTCCACCCTGGTTAATTAGGAGAGGGAAAACCATGTCGAATTCAAAATCCAAAGAAATTAACATAGACAGAGAAAACAAATGAACAAACAAGATATAATTTCTCACCAGCCAGGATGGACAACAAATTTCCCCGAAGAAATAGCCCAATTCACCTGCTCAAACAATTAATGTCATGCCTCAACGCAAGAGAACCTAGCAGAAAGGAAAGCTGAGAAAAACACTGAAGTAAGAATTCTAAAAGTAAATTTTTTTCGGTTTTTTCAAGGCTTTTCTGGCAGAGGCATCGGAGTTTTGGGTTGTTCTCTCTCTTTGTTTCTTTCTTCCTTTTTCAGGTAATCAAGAGTAGGTGGGAAAGCCCGAAAATCATATTTCTAAATGATATCAAGTCTTAGTAATTCGTTCTCATGGCATAGATTATGGGAGAAACAATACCTTGTCAGTCCCGAGGGAATTGGCAACTACATGGGTGACCTGGTCATCTATATAGTTGGTACACACAGCACCAAACTGTTCAGCTGTCTGCCACAGCGGATGTAGGTGAGGATTGACCTCACCAACTGGAAATACCCTGCTAAATAGTATACGACAACCGTTCAAAATCTTCCGCTGCTCAGAGGCTAGAATATTTCTAACATCTGCTTCATCTAGGGAGGGATGGGAGAAAAAGATCTGATGCATCTTCTCAATAACCTATAGATACAAAACAACAGATAACTGATTACTCTCAATGAACCACAGAAGCGAATGAACAGATAATCAAACAGAAACATGTAAAATTATCTGCAATCTCAGACAGTTGAGCGGCATCCTCACCGACAATGAGGATGCCAAAGTCCCATCTTCTTGTCTCTCGTCATGGTCAATCTCCAGCAGAGAAGGACCTAAAAGCCCAAATTGTCGTCTGCTACAAGGAAAGTACGTATACCTGCAAAAGCATTTATAAATAAGCATTAGGTAACAAGGCAAGCAAGCCCATCAAAGTACAGAGACAGTAAGGATTATTATATCTTAAATTGAAGCACGGTTACCGTTCCACAACTATCAAGTTCATTTTGTTATGCGGCCAGACCCTCACAGAATCATCTATAATCACAACAGCTGATTCCATACCCAAAACTCCTTCCAAATCCTTACTCTTCGGAGCATCACCATCATCGGGATCTCCATCGTCGCCTCTAGAAATAACTCGTCCAGCAAAAAGTACCCCTGTTGGATCTAACACCTTTGCCATTTCCGTTGCATATAGCTTGTTCCCCATTGTGTAAAGATGCAACTCAAAAAGTTGACTAGCCTGATGTCCAAAGAGGCAATGCAATGAATTCTCCACTTTCAAATAAACCATAAAATGAGAATTTATGCCAAAATAAATTTTATATACAAAATTACCCTCTCCAAAAAATTCCAAACCCCAGGCCGTAATTTGGTCCACATTCCCATGTGATGGAATCGAAAGAGATGTCGCTGTGGTTTTTCACGATCCTGTTCCTCTTTCTTTCTCAAAATCTCGTCATGCACTGGGTCTACTTCAATAAACTGAAAAGGATAATATAAGTTAGAACAAATTTACAGAGGAAACGGTCCCTTATAATCACTGGTCACAAGGACCAAATCCTACCTTAGCTGAATTAAGAAGTGTGTGATCTAGATCCAAGACAAGGCAAAGCTTGCGTGCTGCAAACATTTTCTTCTGTTCTTCTATCCTCCTTGCTCTCTCTCTCTGGATAGCAGCTTTTTGCTGGTCATCATATCCTTCAAACAGATGTTCAACATCTCCCCACATGGGGGCAGAATGAGGGGGACCTGCTGCAGCTGCTTCAGAAGCAGAAATACTTCCAGTACCCTGCTCCTCAGTCTTTGGATCTATTCTCTCAGTCTTGATTGGAACTGGTTGGGAAGAAACACTCTGAGAAGCTAATGTTGGACTCGTTGATCCATTAGAAACAGAAATGATATCAGCAATATTTTTCAGATTCTTTGTGAATTGGCGAGCAATGTCAGGGGCCTCTACTGATTGAGAAGTGACTAGCTTCATATCCACCTGACCATCGTGCTTTTGGCCATTAAGATTATCCTTATTCCCCTGGCTGCTTGACAGTGGGGTTACAATATTTCTGAACTGCTCTTGTCCCAGACTCCCACTCTTTTGAAGTGCATTACCATGGAGAACACGGCGAGGGTCACGGGGTTTCATGCGGACTTTCCCTGACTCATCCTGCAAAATTTGCAGCGCCAAGAGTTTTTATAACTCGTAACATGACTTATGGATCTAAATAGTACAAAAGGTTATCCAACAACCCATCCGCTAAAAACAGAATATTAAAAAAGAGAAGATAAAAATTAAACTAAATCAATAATTAGGAAAACTAAAATATATCGGGGCAATCATACAGAATAGGAAGAAAATGCCAAAAACACATGCTTTAGCCCATTCTAAAACAACAGTTAGGAAAAGGATATAAGTACACAAGCACTAACCGTTGGAGCTTTTTGTGAACTCACGGGAAGTGTTCCTGCTAGTGTCTGCAACATGGCTGTGGTCTTTGAAGGAATATCCACTGATGCATTTGATCTTAGTATTGAACTTGAGCTTATAGGATTTGTCATGCTTTTTTCAGGATCAGCAGACTTCTGCTGGGCTTCTGCAGCTAACCTTTGCTGCTGTCCCAGCTTAAGTATGTTTAACAGCATGGTTGGATTCACAGCAATATCTTTAAATATTGCAGAATTCACAGCAATGTCTTTAACTAATGCAGGCAGGGAAGCCGTGCTTAAATCCGTCACCGACAAATGCTCATTTGAACTGTTTGCGCCATTGGAGTTTCCATCTGCAGTACTACAACTACTTACATCATTAACCACCTGTCTGGGATCAGACACTGTGTTCTCCACTGTCTGATTCTTGCTAATTAAATGAGGTCCAACACCACCAATGTCCTCCAACCAGCCACCACTTCCAGAAGCAGTTTTTGGATCTTTAACAAAACCTGAGTTATCCAATGTGTTCCTTTGCCTCTTTAATGCAGGACCATCAAATTTAGAATCCTCAAGGGGTTTTTGCTTTCTGGAGCTTAACGTTATAACTGAATCTACTTTAGGTGCATTATGCACTGTCAAGGGCTGTGGGTTGGGATTCAAGGCACCCATATCAGAATTGGAAAACCGAAGCCTAGGATCTCTATTCCTAGTTGGAGCTTTTATGGTAATATTAGATCCAGAACTTCCAGGGGCAGCACTTTTACCTGTAAATCGCTCTTGCATGCTGGAGCTAACCACAGGAATAGGGGAGGGAGAAACAACTTGCTGTCCCAAAATAGGAGGAACTGAAGATCTTAAATTACTAGCAGAAGAACTAGAAACCTCTCCAACAGTATCATCATCCCCATTATCACCGTCTTCTGATGGGGTTGGACTTGGAAGTCTTTCACTCATGAAAAAAGAAGTCCGATTAATTTGTTGATAAGTGGATACAGCTTTAATAGCATCAGTATCATAAGGATGCAATCCAGAACCTCCAGCATTTGGTGTCACCCTAGAGGTATCAGGCCGTGGTTTTACCATCCTATCAGTAACAACCAATGTGTTCTGAACAGGAAAACATGATGGGGACTCTCGTGTTGGAGAAGGAAGGCTATCTGCATCATGATCCTTGTGAGTGTCCAACAGGGGAAGCACGACCCTCCTACCCTTCAAAATAGACACTCCTGGTTTTGGTACTTTGGAAAACATAAATGGATTGCTATAAACCCCAGACACAACAGTGTCTGAAGCAAAATTAGCTGACGAACCGGCATTTACAGCTTCAGAATTCGTATTATTAACCCCACCAATAACCTGTATCTCATTATCTGTAATGCCTGCTCTAGTTTGGAGGAAAACATCAGGGGAATCCAGAGAGGATATCATGACCCCTATCTGGAAGAAATTAGAAACCGTGTCAATACTTTATAACATCAACTAAGTATCCTAAACTGATTACACTTAGGACAGTGAAAAGTGCACCTCTTTTATCTGCTCAGAGGCAAGAAGAGGAGGATCATTCTTCACAGAAGAGAGTACCCTGTTACCAAAAACAAAACAAAGGAAATAACTACACTATCGACGGGATTAGAAACTCTAATAACGAAAAAAAGGAGGATCGGACTCATAAGAACCTTGATATAATATCTTTGTTTTGTTCCTTTTGGTCAGGTCTCATTGAGCAGAACACCTGCAACAAACAGCAATTAAACCTCTACAACTTCAATAACCAGAATCTGGAAATATCTGGACAGAACAACATCAATGTGAGCAATCCTTAGGTGGCTTACGGAGCTGATAGCTTGTACTGCAGTGAAGGACAGTTGAACAAGAGCTTCCTTTGTGGAAACATTAGTTTCCGAAAGCACTCCACGCAAGATCTCCAAAGTGTTGAGTAACTGGAGGCAAACATCCCCAAATGATCTACAAAACATAAACCAAACTGTAAGAAAACATTGTCTAACAGCTACAGAGCAAATTACTCAAACTGGGCAATCATCATTTCACTCCCACAATTCACCAATCAATCCGATTTCGACAGCAATCATTCACTTACTTCTCTGCTTCATTTACAGTAACACTTTCCAAAGCCTCCCGAATCGAGCTCACTCGCATCTTCAAACCAGTCTCGGAATTATCAACATCCATATCATCACAAACCAAAACACCATCTCTAGCCTCCTCAGCTGTCGCCGTGTTTTCGCCATCGGCAGGCTCCGAATCCAGATCAATCTCGCCTTCCTCCAACTCCCCTTCCTCCTTCTCAGCATCCATTTCATCACCACTATCAACAATCACCACTCCATCCACTTCCTTCGCGTTGCTCCTTTCGGACGAAATCACCGACGGCGACGACGACGATCGCTTCAATTTCTCGTCGGGGTCATTCACCTGCAGAAGCTGATTGAGCGGCTTATTCTGTACGGCCTGAGCCCAAGCGAGGTTAACCAAGCCGGACCTGTACCCCCGAAATCCCGGGTAGTTGTAGATATCGCGCATCGTCCAAACCCTAGCATCATCTCCGCCGTTGGATTTAGACTGATCCTTGGGCGGCGGCGGCGGCGGAACCACCACCTTAACTTCCTGCTGCTTCTCCTGCTTGACAAAATCTTCCTCACTGATCTCCTCCACCGAAGTCGAATCCGAAATTTCACCTTCTTCTACATCTTCAACCACTTTCGCACTTTCTTCATCTTTCCCCATCACACCACCCCCTAGAATTTCCCCGATTTCTTTGAAATTGTTCCACCCAAATCCACCAGCGACCATAAATCGCTAAAAAATTATCCAAATTTTAACACCACCAAAACAATTTCCAAAGACTAATTACATAATCTCTTTCGCTTACACAAAATTGACTTTTAGGGTTTAATTTTTCCTCTTTTTATATTTTTTTTTTCCAGAGATGTGGAAATTTAACGCCGTAAATTACGATGGGATTCAAAAAATGAAAAGAATTTGAATCTTTCGTAGAAATTTCTGGGTTTTCAGATCTGTTTGGCGGAGTTTTGAGATCCCGATCTTTGGGATTATTTACGCTTTCGGATCGGGAGAGGAAAATAAAATTACGGAAAAATATGAGAAAAGGACGATGAGAGAGTAAAGACCTGGGGAGAAGAAGGGGAGAGAGTTTATAAGGACGAGGGAATCTAGTACACGCAATGAGTTTAAATCTGGACCGTCCACGTCATCAATCCGGAAAAGCTAGGTGATCCTTTTTTTCTTTTTGGTCGTAAAAAGCTAGGTGATCCTGGTGAGGGATTTAAATGACAAAAGCAAATTTGCTCCATTAGGAATAAATTGGTAATTTAGTCTCGGTGGGAGTTTTATCCATACGATTGAGTCCTTGGGTTTCCGAAATAGTGTATAAAATAAAGAAGTGCTTCGAATCATTGCTATTTGACTCGGACCTGTTCTAAAAAAGTCGAGGTTTCATTTGAAGGAAGGGGATCCTTTTCCGGATCCCTTCTTTTTAATTCATTAAATCTAGAAATCTGAATAGTTGAAATTTGATTTAACAATTAAAATTATTATAGTTTTTAAAATAGTTCGGAATTTGTAATTGTTAAATTAAATTTCAACGATCTGAATTTTCAAACTTAATAAATTAAGAGGAAGGAATCCGGAGAGGACCCCTTTCCTCATTTGACTAGTTGAGGGTTGTCACCTGGAGGCTTGGATAGATCGCCGCCCAAAGACTATTCCATTTTCTTTTTCGCCTTTTTTGCCCTCACATCAAGTCATAAAAAATTATTAAAATTGGTGTAACAAAATTAAGAGTAAACTTTTAAAATATCATATAAACTTGTATTCGTTTTTTTAATTTATCGTATAAATTAAAATTTTAAGCGTTTGGTCGTATTAAGTTTCAAAAATCATTAATTGTTCATCTGATCTTATTTGCATTAAGTTTTCTATCTAAAATAAATCATTTGCAAGGTTATTTCAGACATTTCAACTTTTCATTCCGGTCCCTTTTCAAGCTTATTTTGAAGATTTTAAAGTTATTTCGAACATTTTGACTTTCGTTTTTTTTTAATGAAAATGATTGATCACGATGAATTTTCAAAACTTGTAATTAGTTAAACTCTATGTTAATGAGCTTAATATACATTTTAGTAGTTCAACATAAGTTTTACATCATAAGTTTCAATAATTTGAAAACCAAACTTAATCGAACCAAGTTCTATTACAAGTTTTACACTTAACCCAAATACACTCCTACGACGTCGCACATCCGTATTTCAAACTCAAAACCCTTACTCTACATGATACTGCCGTCGTCTCTCACACCTCGCCGTCCTCAATTCCTCACCCATATTGTCGTCGGTGTTCATCTCGCCGTCGCCCATCTCGCCATATAGCTTTCAATTTTTTTTTGTTTATCTTTTTTTTTGGCTTCTCATTTTTCAATATCTTGTTGTTGCTGTTTGTGATTCGTATTTTCTTGCTATTAGTGATCTTTGTGTACATTAAGTAGTCGGTTTTTTCCATTGTTTTTGGTGTTTTGCTTTTTCGGCACCAACAGTTTCCAGGATTTTATTTTGCAGCAAATGTGATTAACTATTTATAGTATTGAACACAATTGGTACTGGTTTAGTACCAATGTACTTTTGTAAAAAGTGGGTATAAAAAAAAGATGAACTCAAAAAGGTGTTTGGTGAACACTTAAAAACAGCTTATTTTTACAGTTTTGGTGAAAAAAAGCTAAAAACGTCAAGCAACAAATATGAGTTTATTCTCATAGTACAGCAGAAATAGTTTTTTTTCAAAACACAGTAATACCAAACCAACCCTTAGTCTAGCCAACTATTGTGGGTGCAAATATATCTATGTCAGAAAGCCTTATGATACATTGCCAACTCAAAAGTCGAACAACTTGAATTTCAAAGGCAACATGGAAGACAAAAGTATACCAACTTCGTATAATCTTTGTTAATAGCATATCCATAAGACTAACAAGCAAGCAAAAACAATATTTTCTCAATTGAATCATGATTGTTCATTTTCATATTATTGAGAAGTCTGAACTATTGAAGAAAATTTGATTTTTTTTTACCGATTGAAGAAAATTCAAATTTGAAACACTTCTAATTAGTTGTAAGAATAAATAACTCGAAATCTTATGTGAGTTAGGAATTCTTAGGAAAATGCACGTGGGAATGTCATTTGACAAGTACGCATTGCTTCCTCTAGTGGTAGCTGGGTGTCGTTGTACATTACACTCGCCGGCTCCAACCACATCACTACCACTTTGAGGACAACACAGCCAACACTTGAACACGGTACACTCCCACAAAGCACACACAACCACTTCAGTGTTCAGACCGAAGAAAACCAATGTAGTAGATGGAGAAGAATTATCTCCCTTCTCATTTTTGTTCCCGCCTGCCCTCTCTTTTTAATCCAGATTGTTCAAAATAAATCTGATGGTTTGGAATTGTGCCGCATATTTAATGAGACTCTTTAATTATGCGGTAAAATTTCAAACGGTCAGATTTGTTTTAAATGCTCTAAATTAAAATGAGAAGACGGAAGAGGACAGAAATGGAAGCAGAGAATTCAAGCCCGTAGTAGATGGAGAAGAGAGATGTTTGAGCTCATAGTTATGATGAAATGAACAAATGGGGCTCCAGCTGAGACTTTATTTAATCTCTCCTAATTGGACCGATTATTACTGGGTTGGTTGAGTTTGAATTACAGAGAAAAGATAAGGTTTAATTATTAAAACGTTGCAAGATTGCATTAGTAAACGAAAAGAAAAATAGAAAAGGTACATATGAAAATACTGCTAACATAAAAGACTTTTTTCTTATTTAATTTTTTTTTTTTGACACAGACGATATATTTACAATCATATATGAGAGAATATATTTACGAGGATCCTCTTCGGATCCTCTTTGTGAGGATTCTCAGGATCCTTCAATCGTGATCATGTATCGTTCGTCGTGCAATCAATTTTCGTCAGGTACTGTTTGTCTTCAATTTTGAATAAAAAGAATCTACAAGATTTTTTGACCATACGATATACGATGAACGGATACAATTAGAGGACGAATTCTCTTTCAGAATATATTAGTATCGAATTCGCTTTCATAATATTTAAATACAAAACCTCTCATTAACAACCGAAGAGAAATAGCAAAATCCATGTCCTAAGCGAAACATCACAAACTTTTAAATTTGAAACAATTACATGCATGCGTTGATACATAAAAGAATAAAACTTTACATGATGTGGTGCTTTCCTCTGAGTCTGATTCTCAAACAAAAGGCCCACTCTCCCTCGCAGTCTCATCAGCCAACGTATCTGTCACATGTACCCTGAAGAACCAGACCCATCGAACTTTACAATTCAACACCCAAGCTACTCATAATTTTGCAGCCTTTGGCCTTTTTCCCCAATACCTCCCCCACCCAGATAGCTCTCTCCGCTCGTATTTCGTGCCCCAAGAGCCAAGAAACTGTCTACCCCATTTCGGGAAACAAAGCAACCGATCCCTTTCACCGCCCGTTTCTCTCCAATTATACTAACTCAGATGGGAGAAAAACCCCAGGAGATTCCCCTGCGTGTCCATATCCATGAAACCTTATTAATTGATGAGCTTCTCGATGCTCGAAAGCTGGCTCATGGGGGATATTGGATTAGTCCCTTTCGGTGCTCCATGCATTGAAAGTTGAAATACTTGAAACATACATGTCGTGGTGCTCATGACTCAAAAACCCTAGTGGAGAAAACAGAGGAAGAAAATGGTTTCGCAGGTAGCATTTCACGTTGCATTTGGGGAGTAGGGTTTTCATTTTCTTGAAAGCTTGGGAATTGGGTTTTGTTTTTTGGGTCGTTCGGGATTTTTTTCTTCCTTAAGCAGCAGAAGATTCGTCGTTGGGTCAGGGTCTTGTTCACAATTAGAATGGTTGGGGTGGTGATATGGGAATTGGGTTTTATTTTCTTGTGCGAAATGATGCAATTAACACTTAATTAATTTTTGGTGGTTAATCTTGGTTAGGAAGAAGAGAAGCTCACCAAACAGATGAACAAAAACAGAGCAAATAAACAGAGCAAAGTTGCTGCTGCAGATAAAGCGGTCCAATTCCAAAGAGATGGGGTTCGTGTGAAAGCAAGAAGGGGTCAAGCAACTAATAGTCACAGCCTTGCTGAAAGGGTATTTTATTTACAAGTTCTTCCTGTTTTGTTTTGACTTCGAGCGATATTCTAATCTAATCTAAATTGCCGGAGCGATGTTCTAGTCTAGTTAACCTGGCTAGGCAGAGGCTCGACTCTCCTATATTTTTTACAAAATAACTTGAAATGGATGTAAATTTCAAATTTGATTTTCCAGGCAAGAAGAGAGAAAATTAGTATGAGTATGAAACTTTTGCAGTCTCTTGTTCCTGGTTGTGATCAGGTACCGCCTTATATTCAAGTTTTGCGTTATTTTTTACCCGATTTTCTCAGAGAAAATTAGTAGTTGAGAGTTAAAATCTTTCATTTTATATGCATGACAATTATAGATAACTGGCAAGGCTCGGATATTGGACGAGATCATCAAATACGTCCAGTTACTGCAGAATCAAGTCGAGGTAATAAGTACATTACTATTTTATCCACCTTTAATTGAAAAAGCTAGAGCTAGAAGAAGGTTGCTTAATCTCCCGTATTTTCCATTCGATTAATTAGAATATTGCTTGAATTAAAAGAAAAAACCTGGTATATATATATGATCAGTAAGACAGTTTAGGTCCTGTTAATTTGCGCAGTGCCTCACAGCTCAGCTTGCTTCGGTGGATCTCATGCTGTACTTCTGCGAGCTGAACCAAAGTGCAAATCCATCTGCTTCAGAGGTACTAAGATGGGAGAATATATATCATTAATCATTATGTTGTTAAACTACATTTTGAATCTTCTGAACTGTCCTAATTCCTACATCATATACATAATGATACCTCAGAGACTATGTTGCTTGGAACCTCAATTTTCGTCTGTGCTAGAGCCTAGCCCTACCCAGTTCGGGTCTCTGGTAGACGTTACACCGACTTCCGCTTCCATATTACTCACAGAGGAACAGAAAGCCAGCTTAATCCATCAGGTAGTGACACTTAACTTGATCAGGAACAGAAAATTACTTTGAGGATGCTGGATTAGTCAACTCCTGCACCCTCTTAACCTCTTAAATGCCCAGTTCCATTGATTAGAAAACCAAATAAGAAAAAGGTCCTCTATATATTTCTTACGTCATTTCTTGAATGCTTTTAATTGCAGGCAATCTGGGAAAAGAAAGAAAATAGCGAGATGGGAAACAGACTCGATTAGTTTACTATTTGTGGTTAAAAGCACAAACTTCGTGAAATATGTAGGAGCTGTAAAGTAACTGCGTTAAGTTTAACTTGGCAGTGTCCTCCGCCCATTCTGGTAGAAATCAATGAGAGGAGTATCACTATCCTGCTGTATTGCATCGGAGAGAATGTTGTCTTCCCTCGAATTTCATCGTATAGTCTATCACCTCGACTTTCTTCAGTGAAGAGCTCCAAATGCACTTTCATATCGTCCGACTAGTACATTGAAATACTTCTTCAGAGTGGTATTTTAAGCACCGGACTAGCACATTATTACTCCAAGCACGCAAGCTACAACTATTCGCACTTAGTGCAGCGAAGCGCTGAAGAAACACAGCTTTAGTTACCAACCATCAATCTCAAGTTTCTTCTTCTCAAAAAGAACCGAACGAGTTTCCAATAGTATATGATTTGTTGCCAGCAGATTTCCTTTGGCTGATACACCGTCCAATTTATTGCCAGCAGATTTGGTAATTGGATGGTGACTGGTTCAAGAAGAAGCTCTGCAATTTTCCCGTTTTTTGTAAATGGTAAAAAAAATTCTCACATGAGGAGGGAGGCCACATAGTTCAAAGTGACCCAACTACCGAAGCCCCCACAATGCTATGTATTTTTGTAATTTTGGCCCATTGTTTAAGAAGCAAAAAATAATGCTAAAAATATCTTGGCGCCCACCGTGGGGCTCGAACCCACGACCACAAGGTTAAGAGCCTTGCGCTCTACCAACTGAGCTAGACGGGCTTGTTGACTTATTCCTGTACAAACATTTTATAGATGTAAACATAAGTTGGTAGGATATAGTTCCACAGATACGTCATAACAAAAAATCAGCAAAGAATACATCGTCTCATAAATACATCTGTCCTAAAACAAAATGACGAGATAGATACACTTATCGACTTACATCAAGTCTCTCGTCTCTTTTCGTTATGTCATTGCAAGCATGAAAGTTTTATTTGGGTGACGAGAAGTTGAAGTCAAAGTCCATTTGACCCATACCAACGTCCCAGAAGTCATCTATTGGATTGCCAAGCTCATATGAGGATCTAGAAGTATCACTGCCAAATAACGGTGATAGTGACGGCAATTTAAATGAACTATGGTCATCCAAACTAGGAAAAACCATCTCGTTTGCAACATTTACGTTATCACTAACGTAATTGTTCACATTTATCATCATTGTTTGATGATCCTCCGTAACTACGGCTGTACCAACATCATTGTTCTCATTCACTGTAGTTTGATGATCTTCTACAACTGGAGCCACTGCCACCTCAACGTTGTTGTGCTCGTGCACAGTCGTGCGCTGATCCTCTTCAGCTTGGACATTGACTTGATTGTTGGTGCTAGGACTCGCATCCATAACCCCAATGTTGACCGCAATGTTCTCTATTGTTTGATGATTATACTCCAAAACTCGCGGTACAACAAATAAGTTGACCCCAAAATCCTGCAACGGGTCACAAGGTAATCTTTGGGGTAACTGAACGGGGTTGTGCGTCGTAGGATGAGCTAAAAGTCGCATAGCATCCCTTCTAGCTCGGATAAGCTGCAAAAGTGTTAAACCAACAAGCATTAAGTCAATGAATTACCTTGATGTGTGGTTGTACATATTATAAAAATGTACATGAATCACTCACGTAGGATCCAAGACGATCATCTTTAAACAATGTTATCGTATCCCCGGCGCCCAAGCCATGCGCCTGAATGAAGCTCCCTGAAAAAACTATAATGATCAGAATATCCTCAAAACAAATCTAGCCATCATAACTATGCTAAGGAGAGGTGGGTGAAATGCTAAAAGTGGTGCGTGAAAATCAGCTCTGTTAAGAAAAAAGCGTGGTCTGAGGACGTGATGATATGATGAATTGTGTAGTTGAGTTAGAGCTTAGGCTCACTTGTATGATCAAGTATATACATCCTGCTCCTTTCGTTGGGCCAAAACCTGCAAAAAGATTCGATAACATTTTAGAATTTAATTAAAGCAAAAAAGAAAAAGAAAAAAGAAGGTTAAATAGGGAGTTGGCTTGATATTAACCTGAACCTGACAGTCCAAACTTGCATATAATCCATATCGTCCAAGTGCAGCCACAGTCCTCTTTCCTTTGATGCGAGGACAGGGAAATGGCTTTCGGCTTCTCGCTGAAGCAATACATATATGGTCATGATACAACTCAAGCAGAATCACATTGCTATTATATACGTATGATATCAGAACTACATGGTTCTGAGCATATGTACTTTATTTTGTTCTAACCTTGGGTACTACAATGCGACCATTCGCCTTGACGTCGCTATTCTGTAATTTTTTCTGGAACAAAAACCTCATCTGTTGTGGATTGAATAGCTGAAAATAATGCAGAAGGATCTACCAATAAGTAATCATTTGTGAATGTAGAGAAATAATAAGCAAAATTACACTTCCAACTCATTTAAATAAGTGTGCATATAAATATGTATACTTCAACTCAGTTAGGTAATACCGTTGATTTTAGACTGATTTAGCGTTTTTTTTTTTTAAGAGCTAGTAAATTGTATTGTGCCACGTGCCATCAATTGTATGAAATATAAGGCAAGTTAAGTAATACCATTGATTTTAGACCGATTTGGCTTGTATATAATTTTACAGCGTTTAAAAATTGTTTATGCCGTGTGTCAATTATATGATGAGGTAAGTTAGGTAATATCGTAGATTTTGTACCGGTTTGGCCTGTGTTTTATTTTCAAGATATTTGCAAATTATTTTGTTTCACGTGCCAATTATATGATACAGTAAGTTAGGTTATATCATCGATTTGCAACTTATCATATAATTGGCACGTGATACAAAACAATTTTCGGACACTACGAGATATATGAACCAACAAATCAGGCCAAAATCAATGCTGTTATCTAACTTAACTATATATCATACAATTGACGATACACAAAACAAAACTGTTACAAACACTTTGAAAACAATATACTCACCAAATTGATCTAAGGTCAACGCTACTATCAAATTTATCTTTTATAAAATTGACACACGACACAAAATGAACATTTAAAAGTCATATATGCGCCAAACGTTTCTTAAATAATCGCTATTATGCCTACTTACCTTTTTTATAATTGACACGCGACATAACACTTTGAAAGATTTAGGCGCGAAAGTACTCTGAAATCGACGCTATTACCTAAATTGAAATATGTAGATGTCGTGCTTTTGTAAGCGCAAATGTTTGTGAAAGTATTACAAATTTACATTATATTTCAATTATTAGAAATTTTCTTATTCATCACTACAGGAGTTCATGTGTAATTTCAGATCAGAAAAGAAAAGGAACTCAGTGATTCGTATATGAGAAACTGAAGATTAAGAGGTTAGGTAATTCATATCAGATCAAGGCATGACATGTATATATCAGTCATGAGAAACATAAAGTCAGCTATGTAAGAAAAAGCATTTCTTGAGAGAACCCAAATATCAATATGTACGGTGAAAAAGCTACAAGGACATCACAAGGCAAGTAATTAGCTTACACGGGGATCTGGAGTCGGAGGGGGACAAGTCAAGACAGGGGGTTGGCGAGCAGCTGGTTCGTGAACCAGTGGCTCATCCCTAGGGTTCCGTCGGTACGAGTTCTCGCTACGTAGAGGCCCGCTACTTCTACTGCTTCCGGCCAGATTATCTTCGGCAGCAGATGCTGCAACATTGTTTTTCTCGTGAACACCGGCCATTTTTGGTTTTTAATAAATTTTCAAAGAATGATATGAACTAATAAGTTAGTAACGCCTCCCCACACTAAACTGCTTTCTCTCTAAAACTCTCACTCTCTAAGCTGTATGGTCATATGAAGGCAAGGCCTGGGCGCTATAAAGAGAGGGAGGAAGGTGTTAGACTCTTCGCTGGAATTGTCAGTTTCTAGGAATTCGCGGATCAGTGTACGCCTGGAGGTCTCGCTCACTGACGCCCGTCAACCACACCAACTATTTGAGTGACACCATTTACTCAGATGAAGTCGGGATCTTTTCGTCACCACTCTCATTTCACTTTAATCAATCTCTCTCTTAATAAGATTATTATATGTAAGTAACGTTTGTTGATATGGTTCATGGAATCCAGCTCTCTGAGCTAGCAAGCTGCCGTTTGCATTTAATTATTTAGTTTCTTCTTTTTTGTTTGTTTGTTTTTTGGATTTTGTTTCATCATTTTATGTACATATAATTACGTGTGATGAAGTTCCTGGGATATAATCAAAAGGGCAGTACTAGATGATGCTATAGAGAAACGGAGAGAGAGTTGAGGATAGGGTTTTGTTGGAGGGGTGAGAAAATTGTTTTGACAGATGGGAGGAAAAAGTTGGGAAGAAAATAAAGTGGGGAATAGGTGTTGTTCCAGTTCTAATTAGGAGGACACGATATCAATACAATTAATGGTGCAAACCAGGCAAGGTGGTTTCCAAATTCCAGAGAAATCCTGTGGAAACGTGATTTTTATGCACCACTTTCTTGGCACTCATCACCTTATGTCAAGCGAGGGAAGAAGACGACCCTTTTTTTTTTTTTTTTTTTTATGGGTCTACCGAATTCTAAAAACCATCTTAATACTCTATATAGGGCTGCGCACGGGCTGGGCTGGGCCAGGCCCAAATTTGGAGGAACCAGATCTATCTGTTTTAAAATGTAACAGGCCAGGCTGGGTAGATAGATTTTAAGTTTGAGAACCGAACCTAATCTGACCCGTTTGAAATGGGCTAATTCCAAATGGGTCCATGGGTTCCATTACTTCCATTACTTCTTTTTTTTTTCTTCCAGTTTTGGGCATACTACCAATGTTTTTTTCTTTCTCATCTTCACATCAACTCTGTAACGCCCCGACCCGAAAATTTTTATTTCAGAATTACATTTAGTGATAGGCCAAAAATAAACTCTTGTTTACTTACTACCATTAATCACAATTTATTTAATAAATTCTTAATTTCTCACAAAATCTATAGCTAAATTTATTTACCAAAAACATAAGGTTAACCTTTAAACTAAACACCCAATCCTTTTTCTTCTTCTAATATTCAATAAAGATTAATCTCGATTATTTTAAGGCTACATCTAACTCCTGTTAGACTGCCTACGTATCCTTGAACGAAATCAAGCCTTTCGTAGTTCACAAATCCTTTTTAAACCATTTTCGGAAATATTCAA